GCAGCTCAAGCAGCTCGTTGACACACTGTGCCTGCAGAGCCCTTTGCAGTAAACTGGAAGACCACAAGGACCACTATAATTAATCTGAATTTCCAACAATCTATGCTAGAATCTCTCCACCAAACTCCAGTATTATGAGGTTGAACTATACCTTGCCAGTGTCCAGTATTGATCCAAAGGCTTTGGTGCTTTACAGCCACCTAATCCTGACATCTTCCTGCTGCCTGCAGCTCACTGCTTTAAGTTTAATGTGGAGCAGTGCCAGTATTTTGTAACTGTGAATCTGTCCCAGCTCCGTGTACTGAGCGGGGCCACATGATTGCTAATAAGAGGACAACAGGTTTGTCCCAGATTAAAGGTCCCTCTCTGTATTGGTTTTATTACCCCTATTTATGAACAGTTGTGTGCTCATGAGTCACAGAATATCCCAAGCTGGAAGGCACCCATAGGGACCATCATGTCCAACTCCTGGCTCTGCGGAGGACCACCCAAGAATCAGACTGCATGTCTGAGAGTGGTGGCATCAAGTCCTGCTAGTGTGGAAGGTCTGAACACAGGCATGGCTCTCTGCTGCCCACACAAAAAGCACCAAATCTTGGAGTATCTTGCTTGGGGTGTGTGTGGCTGTGTGGGTGGGAAAATTGCTGAGCTTCCCCACCCAGCACATCTTCCTATTGCGATCTGAGCTGGGAGTGTAGCATGGACAGTGTGACTGTGCTCTGCTGGAACAAAGCACCCAGCGGGAGTGTCGTATACAAATCTGTCTCCAGTAAATGACAAGCTTTCTGCTTCAAATCATGTTGGAAATATGAATGGAACAATTACCCCTCTGCAGGCTGATGTTCTGTGGCTCACAGCTCTCCAAGAGTTGGGTCCCACCTTATTCTTCCCCTAAGAAAATGCCTTAAATCTTCTGCAGCCTCCACCCATCCCCTGCACATACAGCTGAGGGTTTGGATCCAAATTAGATCCATCTTTTTTTCTAATGGAAAAAAAAAATCCAATGTTTTTTCTAAAGATTCTTTAAGAGATATATATATATATTTTTTTCTCTAATGGAAAAATAACCTTCACTGTGGAACTGTTTTCCAGGGTACTGGGGGGCATTTTCATAGAGTCACAGGATTGTTTGAATAAGAAGGGACCTTTAAGGCCATCTGGTCTCATTCCACTGCACTGAACACGGGCACCCACAGCTCCACCAGGTGCTCAGTGCCTCTCCAGCCTCACCTTGGCTGCAGGGACAGAGTACCACCACCTCCTTGGGCAACCTGTGCCAGTGCCTCACCACCCTTATTGCAGAAACTTCTTCCTTATATGCAATCTATATCTCCTCTCTTTTATTTTGGAGCCGTTTCTGTTTGTCTGCAGACCATGCTCAAGAGTCTGTCCCCTTCCTTCTTACAGCCCCTTACACTGAAAGGCTGAGCTCCTTTACCTAGGCAAGGTGGATGCATCCAGCTCTCCAGGGAGCAAGCAGGAAGGCAGTGGGGTGAGGCAGCTACCTACCGGCTAACAACCACCTGTGAAACCAACCAGTGACAAAGATCAGCCCCGGCTTTGGGGCACCCCCTGCCTCCCACTGCTTGGAGCCCTGCTCCCCCAGCCCGGGCTGCACCCACCGTTGCTGCAGCTGCCGTTGGTCTCCAGCGGCTCCATCATCATCCCCTCAGTCCTCCGTGGTGCTCTCAGTGGCTCGGTGCTGGCTGCAGGCACACCTGCCCGGGCGGCTCCTCCTCCGTCGCTGCGCTGCGCGCCTCGCGCTGCCCTGGGGGTTGGGGCTGCTCCCTGTGGTGTAGCAAGGAAGGGGTTCAGAAGGCGTCCCCTCAAATGTGAGCTTTGGTGTTTGTTGTTCCCTGCTTAGCGTTACGGCTGTGTGCAGATGCAAAGGGCAAATCGTGGGGCTGAGGAATGAGTTGTAGCACAAGGAAGGTTGATGTATCTCAATGGAGATTTCGAGTGCGAGCAGGGATTTCCTCAATCGTGTACTTGTTGCACAGAGGCACGTTCCCTAATCGCTTTTCCGGCTTTCGAATCAGAGAGGGAGAGGCTGGGCTCCAGCACAAGCACAAAGCAAATATCAGCAGAGGACGGGTGTGCAGAGGACATGTGCTGTGCTACAAAGGGCAGAGGTGCAGGGCACGGTTTCACCTGCAGCTGCAGTTGAAGACTTTGCTGCCTCCAGCCACTAAATAAAATAACTAAAATGTAAGATCTGCAGGGCTTAATGGTTCAAAATTTGCTTTTTGATTTTTTTTTTCCTCTCACCATGAAATACACTGCCTGTACATTGCTACAGAAGTTGCCCTTACACCATCAAGCTGCGACGTTGCCAGCACAGTGTGCATCTTTGCACTGATTGTATCTCTGTACAACTCTGCTCTCCAGCAAATGTCATGTTTGAGTGCTATGGGAGTCATCTTGACTACAATTGGGCCAGTTCATCAGCCACACTCAGAGGCTGGGAATGGCTGTGCTGGCCAGATCCCATGTCCTGCCCTCCATCACAGGAACATCTGATAGCTGTCCAAATGGTGTGGCAGTGGTTTCTGGTGTAGGAAATTAAAGGTTGGTGATTCATCAGTGATAACTATGCTGCCAAATCAGAGGTGATGACATGGTGGAAAGCAAAAGACACTTTGGACCACAGCTTTACCTTCCCTTGGTGGCCTGACTTCCTAAATGCAGAGTTGACTGCATTTGGCATCATCTTCACTCCCAAATGTTTTTGACCCCATGGGCCAATTTTGCCAGGTTTGGGAAGGGGTGAGATCTCCAAGAGAAGTTCTTCTGAGCTTTGGGAAGAGAGGAGATGTGGAGGGGGGTGAGGATCCAGAAGGAGAGAATGCAGTAGTGCAAGTTCATTGATAGACATCAGGAGGGAGCGTGTGGAGTTTTCGCCACTATGAGAAAAGCTTCACTTAGATGTTGCAATCAGCTGTGGTACATGTGTGTCACATCTTTCTAGTATAGGAGCAGTGGAGATGTTGTATATAAAATCACTAAGTCGCAGGAGTTGCGTTTGATGTATTTAGCAAGGCTGCATATGGCAATACGGGAGTTAAAAGCCAGGAAGGCTTGGCTAAGAATTGCCTGCAACTCTTAGTCAAGGACAAGTTCAGACTGATAACGATAAAGCAGGGATGCAACCAGTGCCTCTGTTATTGGTTCATATCCTTGTTTTAATGGTAAGGCTGTAATTAGGGGAATTCAGCTCCAAGCTGTGAGCTCAGTGGTTGATACTCACATCAGGTGCTTCCTTAAAAATAAGGTCCAGCTCATCAGAAATGAGGGAGTCTGCTATAGTGGCTCATCTTGTAGCAATGTGGTTCCTCCTGAAATACTGGTTCCCCAAGCCAAAAGACTTGACTGCAGTCCAGAGGATAAAGTAAGACAGCTTTGCATGCAAATGATATCTTTAGCAACATCAAAAGGCTTTTCTTTCTACTCCACTTCTCTTTTTCCACTCACTGGAAAAAAATGGTGGAAAAATAGTTGTTACCCATCCTGTGTATTGCTACAATGGTGGAAGCATCCTACTAGCAGCTACTAGTCTGTCCTTGGGTGTCTGCTAGACATTGTTCTTGTGGGAACTTTGAGAACAGGGCTGCAGTATTCAACCATGGCTCAGTGTAGTTTGAGATTTACTGCTTTGAAGGGAGATAAATCCTCTTTCTGACAGTGACCTGGTGTTGTAGGTGCAAAAGGAAATGCCTGGTGTTCGGGTGATTGCAGCACAGCAGCGTAAAAGCTTGTAGGACTGGATGTGGTTGTCTGCTAAAAGCAGACAGCTTTTAGCTCAAGTTATCTCTCCAGGTAACCCTGCCTGCAGTGGCTGGGACTGTCATTTCACACTGCAGGAGTTCAGATGACACCAGCTTGGAGTTCCCAGTCTGTCACACCCACAACGGGTTCCCACTCTTGTGCTGCCCTCCCAGTGCCAGAGTGAGTATCTGTAGTTCTGCTGAAGAGCAGCTGAGCTGTGTGGGTTTATAAGGCCATAATAAGCATGTCCTGCTTCACTTGTGGGGTTATTTTCTCTATCCAAATCAGTATAATCATCTAGGTCCCTGAGCCCCCATAAACTACAGATGGTGGCAGAAGAGAGGTGGTGGGTTGGTGATGGATAGGGTGGATGTTCTGTGGGCAACGGAAGCCCTAAAGCTTCAGATCAGCAGCACGTGATGTGAGGTGAAGTGACATACAGGCAGCAGAGTGTTTGTTTATAGAGCTCTTAACTGCTGGGTGTTTGCATCAGAGCTCTACGTGAAGCAAAACTAGATTCAAAAGGTGCTGCTGGCTTGCAGGAGTTACAGCAAGGGCCTCTGCTACAGCTGAAATTGTGAAGCAATCATTCATGAACTGTTATTCTCAGTGGCAGAGTTCCATTAATCTGAGGACATAAAGATACTTAGATACACAAGAAAGAAGGATGTAGGTCTGTGGTTTTGGTTATGATCTGCTGGGGTTGGTTATCCAATAGTCAGACTCTCAGAACTGGATGCTCAGTGCAAGGGGTGGCTCCAGGCTCCAGCACCCAGCAGCTCTTGGGGCTTTTAATAGGAACCAAAGAATGGCTGCAAATGGAAATCTGGGAGAAAATAGCAAGGGCTGTCTCCTGGGATGAAAAGTCCCTGTGAAGCTGGTAGAGCTGTGGTAGTGAGATGAGCTCATTTAGCTTTGTTTTGACTAGAGCCTGTCAAATGCTATTACAGATAGTTCTATAATTCTCCCCCCATTCTCTTCCAGAAGTTTTCAAATGAAAGTTTGTGGCAGAATTATGTTTCCCTCAAAGATCAACTTTCTGATAGGAAAATTTGTTGGTTTGTTTTGCTGTTGGCCATGAAGTTTCAGTTTCCTTTGTAGCTTTTGACAAAATCTTGACATTTTTTTAGCAACAAAATGCTGCCATCATCCCTCTTAGTGTTCTCCTTTTGCCAGGTGTGATCAGAGTCTCTCCTCAAATAACAGTTACTACAAATGACAGTGACACCATGAGATAAAGTTTGCCCATTTCATGAATGAGCCCAATTTTTATTTCTCTTCATCACAAAAGTCATCCCACATTTGTTGCACACACTGTTGTTGCTGTGTTACGGGACATATCACCATGTACCAGATGCTTTACTCTTGCAGAAGCATTTCTAAAGGATATGGAAGCTTCTGTTAGCTGAATTTTAGAACAACAGCAAAAAATAATACAAAACCAAAATATCATCTTCAGCTGCATAGCAAATATGGATCAAAAATTTAACACTGTATCAGACCACGAGCGTAAATATACCTCACCATAAATAAAACTCATTGTACAAAATAACTCAAGCAGCTTTTCATACAAATATGGTACATTTGACAAGAGCTTTTGAGAATATTTTCTTTTTTTTACACCTTCAATTATTTTTTCTTTTGTTCTCAAACACACACAAACCTACTGGACTGGAGTAATGCAGGAGAAAAAAGACTAACGTTGTTCAGTGCTAATAAGTGCTGCTGGAGTTTAAAAGAAAAACCACTGAAGTGCTAAGTTTGAACAAGTTTGCTTCTCCTTTCTATTAGATCTCTGAGAATCAAGTGTAGCATCATCCAAGAAAGGCATTTGCACTGCCAATAGTCACATTTCAAATGTTAAAGCTGGAGGGAACGTTACAATCATCTAGTCTGACTTTGCTTATTACACAGACCATCCTTTTCCCTCTCTCTAACTTTTGTATCAAGTCAGCAACTTGTCTTTGAAGTAGGCATTCCAAGCAATGGTTGGTAATCCCCAAGGAGTTACAACTACTTCAGAGTAATTGGGAAAACGTAGGTTAAAAAAAGGTATGCCCATAGTCAGTTGACTTAAATTATCCATATAGGGGTCCGTGTTTCCCTAGGAAAAAATAATATGGGCTGTGCAGATTGAATTAGAGCATATCTGCAAGGAAGACATTCAAAATTGGCAGGAAGTTTTCCAGTGTGGAGGATATGCCCGACCCCTTGGCAATCTGTTGTTTAGCTTTACTGTCACAATTTTTTTCCCCTATTTTCACTAATAATTATGACATTAAAAAAAAATGAAGAGAAAAATTCTGCTTCACTAGGTTCTTTGAAGACGTAAGTCTGAACTTTTCTTTTATAGATTCAAAGGGAGGGGAGGGAGGGGATTAGAAAACAAGCTAAAGACTATTTGAATCAGGTAGCCTCTTAACATACTAATAATAAGCAGGTAGATTCTTAACATAAGGACAATAACATCAAATCTCAGAAGTGAGGAGCATATGGTTATTCCTAGCTGATCTCATACTACTTGAGCAACAAGGCAAAAACATCTACAGTTAGAAACACTTTACATTTTGTTCATGCACTTTGGACATCTTGCTCGAAACGTGTCATCCCTCAGAACTGGAAGGAGTTTGTTTCTGACAGCAAATCTGAGGGCAAAAAAAACCCAACATTTCTTCTACCTTTTCATTCAAGCACACCCAGCTGTGTTTTGCAGGTTTGTGGTTTTGTTTTTTTTTTTGTTTTTTTTTTTTTTTCAGAGAATTAAGCCAAAGCTGCAGCAAAAGAATGCCGTGATAGACATGTTTAGGTAAAAAATCTCCTGTCTCTCTGCAAACCTAAACAAGAGACTTAGATTCAACTTAGGATATCCTGTTCTGTCTGCTAGCTGTGAGTGACTGGGCTGTGTGGCATAGCTCAACCTTCTGTGTTCTTGCTCTTGCTGGTTTCTGCCAGGGCTCCAACATCCCATAACATATCAGACATCATAGAACATTCAATTTGTGCTGTGCTCAGAGATGGCTCTGAGAGCCGCTCAGGGATCTGTGCCACTTCATCAGCAACACTTTCATACCAAAATAACAAGCACTTGCTATTTAGGTCAGGAAAATAGGATCTTGGTTGGATCTATCTTCCTTGTATCTTGTTTTTCACAAAAAATAAAGTGCTCAATTCTCCTCTTCCTTTTAAAAATATATATCTGTAAACTCCCTCAATTCAGTAGTTTCAGCAGTGTCAGGTGTTGGAACACAATGGAAAACCAGAACGGGCATCGATAGTGGAGAAAGTGAGTAGAGAGCAGGAGCCCTTTGGTATTGTTGGGTCTTGGATGCTCTTGTGCTGCTCTTCTTCACAGTGTGAGGGAAACAAGTTGCTTCCAGAAGCTGGATCCTTCCCTGGCACCCAAAGGGTTCAGCCCAATCTCCTGAGATGCCATTTGACTTTCAGATTACTGTGCTGCACTGTTTTCTCCCAGAGGTTCAAGCATTTGTCTCAGTGATTAAAGAAGGCTCAAGGTGTAAAGATGTTCAGCTCTTCCATGTGTGGATTATTTGTTGATCATGAGGGAGTGAGTGTGTGGGAGAACAAATGCATCCCACACAGCAAGATCTCCTTTAGCACTAATACAGTGCTTGCTGTTGTTTTCTAAGACAATGCATTCCAGCTGGGACATTCCTACTAATTAATGGTGTATTTCTTTTGAGAGAATAAGGGCCCAGGCTCTGCCTTTTCAGCATCTGTAGTAGCATGCAGGTTACAAGGCATGATGGAATTTGCACGAAAATAATATCTATTACCAAATCTGTCTATTTAAACAGCAGTTATCTGCTGTGTCCTGGCTAAAGCTGAGAAATAAAAATATTGACAGTGGTGACATTAGCATAATTTCCTCCTGGAGCATGTGGTTTGATCTTCTTTAGCTTCAGGCACAACGTTTTGTGTCACTGTGGTGACAGCACCAAGAGGAAAGGGAAAACCACAAGTTTTGAATATCTCCTTGAGGTCCCTACTGAATTTGTTCCCAGTATCTAATACATCCAGAGATATTAGGTGAACTGAGTAGGAGTAGGAAACAGACTCCGGTGTTCCCTCAGAAGGCTTTTGAGCCTGGAAATTGCTGTTTTCATTATGCTTATCCTATGTTTTACCTTTTCTAAAGAATCGCATCATTTCTGTGTGATGGGAAGTTTACTAAGCCTTGCTGATGGACACCATTCTCTTAAAAAATAAATAAATAAAAATTGGTTGCTGTGACTATCTAAAACAAGGGAAAATAGCATGCCAGAACATACAAAAATTACACATCCCAGCTCTCATCCTTGGCTGAATATCAAAGATCACACATGGTCAAGGTAAATACAACTGCCTCCTGTCAGGAACAGTGTCTGTTTCCACTCAAGTTAGCATGTGCAAAAGCATATTCACATGAATCCAATGCAACCTCTTCCATGGTCCATAAGAAATTTTGTTTACTTCATTGAAGGTGTGTCTTCAAGGGAGAACCCTTTGAAATAAAATAAGTGGACATCCCAATAGCAGTGGAAAAAAAGCCAAAACAGGCCTTTTTTGATTCCCCCAGCTCTCTGAAATGCTGAAGAGTTATTTGGCAGCTACATCATTGCTATTTTGAAACCCAAGTGCCAGATGCTAGGAAGGCCAACAACTTGGCAGAGAGCGGGAAGCAATCCACAACCAGCCCAGCACGGCTCCTCTGCACTACTCCTTCCTCAGGCTGCTGCCGTAGGTGAAATCCTGCCTTCATCCCTTCTTCCCCAAAAAGAAGTCAGGGTCTGTCTTCAGCCCTGGTGGCACGTGTCATGGGTGGGGTTGATTTTCCCCATTGCTTTTGCAGTGGGAGTGGGCTCCCGGCGCAGTAGCAACACGCAGCTCTTCCGACAGGATCCCCCACCTTTGGGGCTGCAATATGGCTTCAGATTTTTGTGTTTGGCTGGATGAATCACAGGGAAAACCAGATTTCACGGAAGAAAAGCACATTTCACCCTCCCACCCCCACCCACTCCCAAGTCCAAAAGCTACAAGTAAAATTGGTCACAGGGATGGAACAGAAGAACATGCACTCAACAGGGCCAGATGGGAAGATAAGTCCTTGTAGTGAGCATACCCAGTCTTACTTTGTTGCCAGGTCTCACGCCATCAAGTTCATCCTCCCAGTCATCCTGGGCTCAGTCTCTTCTCCCTTCCCAAAGCACACAGGGTCAGTGTCACACTAGCAGGTGGTGGCCAGTGACTGGTGGATGGGAGGCTGGAAGCAGCGCACATGCTCCACTGTGGAACTGTCTGTTTCCACCGACTTCATGTACTTGTTCAGGATGGCAAAGATCTCATTGTTCAGAATCTGATACTTCCTTATCCTGTCAGCCATCTTTTTCAAGGGCTGGAGTGATGGTGAGAAAGAAAGACAGTAGATGAAGAGAGTCTTATGTCATTTGACCAGTCAGAAAGTATCAGTACATTTGTCCTGCTGCTGAGAAACCTCTGCTAATACAAAGCACGTGCTACAGTTCCACTTAGCAGCTTCCAGAGACTGGTGACTCACTTCATTATAGGATTTGGTGACTCAAGACAGAATTAACAAGGTCAGTGTGTGGTTCTATGTTAATCGATCTAGAGTCTGGACTCCCAGCTGCTTATTGATAAAGCCACTGAGATCAGAGAATGGTTGATGGAAATACCAGCTTCTCTGCTAGAGCTTCCTAACCCCAGGAAGAAAGGAAAAGCTTTGGGAGACGAAAGATTTGATTGTCAAGCCAATTAAAATCCTGGCCTCTCTGCTGAGACTGCAGGTGGAAATCTCACAGCAAGCATATCCAGCTTGAATAAGATCAATGCCTGGAAAGTTTGTTATTTATGAGTTTGAACAAGGCAAGTCGGAAAACAGAGATGTGTGCTAGTTCAGGTCTTTTGGAGCCTTACCCTTCGACTTACCACGTTTTTAATGATTTCATCCTTCCCGTCCTGCCTCTGCACCTTCAGCAGGTGGTAGCAGAAGTCAAATAGGTCAAAGCGTCGTTGTTGTCCAAGGAGAACAATGATAGAACAACCTGCCCAGTTCAGACCATCTCCAAAGCACTGCCTAGAATGGGGACAAGGTGATGGGATGAAGAGATAACAGGATGGAGTTAGGTAAATGCTGTCCTAACATGAGACCAGGAACTTTTCTTGGTGGGGGAAATTGGTCCTATTGATGGAAAGTGGGTATGTAATTAGAGAAAAAAAATGATCTTAGGACAGAACCAGGCTATGCATGGTGCACCACAGGGTACAATGGATGAGGACTTTGCCTCCAACCTGGACTTAGGCTACCCATTTCTTTCTGTAGGGCACCTTGGACATTTCTCTGTACTCGTCTTTCCCTTCTCCCCTTTTCCCAGTCATTCAGATGGGAAGCTTTGGGGGCATCTCTTTAGATCTACATCCAACAAAGTCCTGTCCTCAGGTACTCATGTTCTCTCTCTACCTCTGTGCTGGCTGTGGCTATTGCTGCAGCTAAGGGCCCATGAGCTAATAGCAGAGCTGGATACTGGACACTCACTCTGCAGTGAACTCATTGGTGCCCACAGGGATGCAGTACACAAACTGCATGGCACTCCAGAGCCGGTGGAACTCCACGCACTCGTCCACGTGCATGACCCCATTTGTTGGGGGTGGTCCACGCCAGATTGGGTCCTGCAGGTAGCTCCGAATTCGCGTCAGGATGACCTCGAACATGGACAAGCCGCAGCACAGCCGCTCCTTGGTCAGCAAGTCACCTTCTCGAGCAATGGCTATTTGCTGAAGAGGAGGAGAACCAAAGAAACAAGTGACAATGTAATACAGGTGTACGTTCTGGGTGGACTTCACAATTCCTGGTCTCCCTGGCATATCCCGTGAAAAGTCCAGCCTTACCTCTGATGCCTGCTCCCGTGGCACTCCCCACCAAGGAATGCTCAACCCAGAAGACTTAATATTGTGCTCAATTATATTTCACCAAACTGAGTATCTTTTGAAATAACTATATGCATCAGAAAACGAAAGCTGAAGGCAAAAGTTCTGACCAGAAATACTGATCCTTAATTCTGCTAGCATGCTATTCTGTTACACAAGCACTACTAAGCATTGCCAGGCTTAATTTCATGATTTGTGCAGATTATGAAAATGAATCAGGAGAGAAAACAGGCATTTTGCTTCCCAGGGCATTGCCATCATCTCTTTAAAATGTAGATAGGCTACGCACTTGATTTCCTATGTAGTGGTTAAAAAGCTCTGAGATAGATGAGAAGCCATTGGAACCTTAATACTGGAAAATCTGCAGTTTCTAAGAAAGACAAGTATACATTTTCCAGCTGAGAAACTTTCCATGTGCAGAGAATTTCTGTGACATCCCCTCTCGAATTTACATGAACAAATCTGGAGGGAGTGGCTCCACTGGATGGAGTTGATTTGGCTTTTGCACCAGAGGAAGCTGAAGAGAGAACTGACTTAATTTCAGCTCCATTGCTGCTCCAGAGGAAAAAAACCAACAAGGGTACTTAAATAAACACTGACCCTAGTGAGCTTCCTGCCTTCATCCTCTGGGCTGAGCTGGGCTGCGTGCATGGAGCCTGTCTGCCCCACTCCTTGCCATTTCCAGCAGTATTACTGCCTTCTTGAAGTGCTGCCAAAAATAACTGGGGAGATGAGAGCCAAGTGCTGTCAGAGTTGTGCCACGGTGATAGGAGGCTCACCCCATTACCTGGGTGATGGCCACATCCTGCTGTCCCCGCAGGCAGAGCCTTTTACCACCTCACCACTTCAGCAGTGGCACTTACCAACCTTCTGCCTATCTTAGAGGGCTTCCTGGAACCCTAGGTCATTTTTAAGTTCTGCTCCATTTCCAGCTGTCCACCTAATGCCTGTGAGAAAAAATGTCATCCTGACCAGAATTACAGCAGAGTCTCAGAGCACCTGCACATGTCCTGATCAGACTTTAAGGATGTGAATTTAGCTCAGTTTATTTGGATATTCTTTATTCTGCACTAAAAAAATAGAAATCTGAACGTGCATATACATCCCCTTTCCTGACTACTGGTTCACATTGGCACTGACCTAAAGCCTTTTTAGTTTGGTAATACAGAAATGAAAGCATTACAACTCCTGCTTTCAACACAATTCCAAGGGCATTTTGGGAACTTCAGAGCAATTAATGTTCAACTAATAGCAAATATCAAGGGAACACTGTATTGCTGCCCAGAGGGCAGATTGGGGCTGGGATCCCTAGATTTGTTAAATTCAGGAATGATGTCACCCAAGTTTCACAGCACACTTGCACATATTTGCTAAGCAAGTAAGGGTTTATTTTATCCAGTGTGTTTTTTATAGCTAAAGGCAGTAGATACAACTTATGTCTCTTCATCTGCATCAAACTCTTATGGGTAAAGATTAGTGTCTGCACACAGAAGTCTATGATGGAAAAATGGAAACACAGCAAGAGTAAAGCCTCTCAATGTGTAAATTAAGTGTTAGCATTGCTGTTTGCTAAGAAATAGCAATAGAACTGGTATTTTTGACAAAACTACTTCCACGATCTTAGCATGAAGAAATATTAATCTAGAAAAGGATGCACCCATTTTCTAAAAAACATGGTACCACTCACATTCACAGACAGAATTTGGTTTTAAAATTCATCCCTATGAATCATGACAGAATTGTGACAATAGCTGTGACAGAGCATGACTATTACTTGGCAGATATTTAACGTGGTGAAGGCAGCTGGACAACTATTAGTCCTGTGGCCAAAGCTGCCTAGAGTCTGAGGTCCCACTGACTTCTATGACCAGGAGAAGGATGAGTGATTGAGAATAGATTGCCATGGGAAGACACTGTGCTGACTCAACTATTCCCTCTGTTCTCGAAAGAAAAAAGCTCCCATTACTTTCAAAGGAAAAAAAAAAAGTCCATTGACAACGCACGTTTGAAAGTCCCTTGCTAAATATCTACTCAGCATTAAAAGGGAAAGGATTCCTTTAACAATCTGCTGTGATTCCCTAGTTCTGTATCAATCACCTACCAAATAGCTGTTGGTGGATTTCCAGTGTACAGTATGCACTCCCTGACAGATTTCCTGGCACTGCACTAACTCAGTTATGCCATACCTCTTTCACGGCCTGTTAATGAGCAAACTTGCAAGAACCACACCTGAACACTGCTGAGAAGCAATTCCCTCTAACTTCAGCAGCTGTGGCTCAGACCCTTTACAGCAAGTGGTTATGGGAACTGCATAAGGCCACTTTTTGGGAGGGGCATCCAGCAGCCAACTTCTGCACCAATTCTGGACAATTGCTCTAAGGTGTTCCTGTGTTCTGCAGGAAAAAACCAACATTGCCTGTGTCCAAAACTGCATTTCCAGGAGCAAGCTAGAAGCTATGGAGGCGCCTACTGAATGTCATTTTTGTGTTCATTTATACCTCAAAAAAGATCTGGTACTCAACTGTACCTGTGTGGTGAATGTGGGAACAGTGTGCAGAACAGTTAATTCAGGACATAAAATACCTTTTGTTTTCATCATTGTAACTACGGCAAGGATAAGCAACGAGTGGACTCTTATAGCAGATTTCAATGATGGTTTTGCATGAAAAGAAGGAGAGATAGAAAGACCAACACAAAGACACAAAAACACAGAGGTGAATTCTTTTTCTCGAGTGTCTCCTTTGAAAGGAAGCCAATGGGAAGTGAGAGGAGTGTCTACAAAGTCAGACAAAGCTCACAGTTTTCAATCCAATTTCTTTGTTTCATATGATTTCCAGTGAAGCAAAGTTTCAAATCCTCGATCCATCAGAAAAACATGGAAGAAAGCTGTGTAACTTTCTGCCTGCCATAGATCTGTCACCTCATACAACTGAGTATTTGTTCCATTCCCTCAGCAGTAGATTACAGAAAAAAGGGTGTTGATTTCTTTAACACTTTCAATGATTTTTATCCTATTAAATCCAGTAAGTAGATAGTGGACATTTGGCTACTGATATCAATAGAACTCAATTCTGCCCATTGCATTGATTAAATCTGAGATATTTTTAGCGGTACTCAATTTCTGCAGAAAATAGATATGTTTTTTTCAAGCTGAGACCCCACCTCAATATGACACTTAAATGGAGGTGTAATTTTAAGCATGTGCTGAAGCTCTAAGCATGTGCTAGGAGGGAAACCATTCTCAGATGTACTCCTTGACAGGAATGAGCTTAAAAATATACCACCAGGCAGTCCTAAAACAGGATCCCCAAAAGTGATGGCAATGAATTAAGACAGGGACAGGCCTACAATGTTTCCCCTGGAACCACCCCAACAATTATCCTTTTTTTTTTTTTTTTTAATGGAGAGCAAAGAGGTTTTCAAGGCTGTTTGTGTTCAGAGCTGGCTTATGCTACAGCTGCCTGCCAGCTCTCCAGACTGGAGGCAGCAACGCACTCTGGACCCACTCACAAATTTCCCTTTGATGTGTCTGCTAGGGCAAGGATTCTGACTTTTTTTGTCTGATTGGCATTTTAGAAAAAAATAAATAAAAATAAAGGATCACCTTCCCGGGGCTGAACAGGGCAACTGGGACTGCTACGAATTTTCAACAGCCATCCCTTTCAATGAAATCCTTACCTGCGGAGTGCCCAGCCTCTCTATTAGGGGAACGAGGTGAAGTGGGGCATACTTGGCTTCGAGACGCTTCATGCGCACCTCCAAGCGTTCTCCTTCTGTCAAGCGAGCAGCAAACAGTGAAATGAGAGGAGGAAGTGGAGACCCGCAATTTCCGCTGAGTTTGCTCAGAGCTGCCCCCCAGCAACCATCCAATGAGCCTTTGGATCAGAGAGCCAAACCGACAGCAAATGAGGGGACTGGTGATGCGGAGAAGGGTGGGATGTGCAATTGCAGTCTCAGCAGCAGCTTAACCAAACATGTTCAGAAGCATGTCCCTGTTCCTGATTGCTCCTGTTGAGATGGACATTTCATGCTGTCATTCTCCAAAGAGGCTGCAAAATACCTCTGAAGACTTAAGGGAACCCCCAGGCTATCTAAGGTTGGAGCCCATAATTGGGCTACAGAAGATGCTCTGCTAGCATTTGTTTCCACCTTACTTTTGGCTGTATGCATTTATCTATTTAGAGGGGGAAGCAGGGCCAGAACTAATCCTCAGTTGAAATGGGAGAGAAACGGCTCTTGGAAGTGACCTCTGAATCTGTTCACTGCTGCCCTCTGAGCTTCTTACCTTTGATGTAGACCCTGGGCAAAATATTTTGGAAGGGAGCAGCATGCAGCAAATCACAAACTTCTTCCTGGGACTGAGGCAGGAAGAAAGAAAGATAAAGTAAGTTAAAAAATACCTATAGGGCGTGACTGTTTGGCTCAGGGGTCTGTGCAACCCTACAACAACCCAATCACATCTACAGCACCTGGTCAAATCTAACCCAGCTCAGTAATAAATCCAATAGTTTGTATCTAAATGGACTAAAACTGGAAGAAACAGCTCTCAGCTTAAGTCAGGAAGTTTCTATAACCCAAATAATTTACCTCATGCCTACACAAGGCCAGAACTTCATATGTTTTTTGTTTTATTTTCTCGCCCACTTATTAATACTGTGAATAAAAGGGGATAAAGGCCATGGAAATTTCAGTTCTGTCTTACCCTGATGACTTCCTGCTGTTATTTTTCACTGAGTGTGCCCAGGTGGAAGTTACCCTTTGGCTTAGTTACTCTGGGATGTGTACATGTTAAATATACTGTTATAAATAGATGCATGATACACTGGCCTGAAATTATTTGGTTGTACGGTGCTCACGGCCAGTGCTATCAGACCAAAATCCCAGTGGTGGAGGCACCAGGGAGAATAATACAGAAGTGCAGAGAGTAATAACATCATGAGATGCCACCTGAGAGGATGCATGCCAATGCACTAGAGAAAAAATAATCCCAAACATAGATGCACAAGGAGAAACCTAGAAATAGGAAGGTGGAGACTGAGGAGCGATGGCTGACAATACATCGTATACAAGTCTGCAATGGGAAACAGCAGCAAGGAAAACCAAAGCTGTTCAACACAGAGGCACTGCGTAACAACATGGCAATAGTTTGCTCCTGCAAAACTCTCGTTCTAGGACATGCTTGCAGTTCTGAGCTTACCAGAGAGATTTAGACACACTTGAGAGGAGGTCATGACAGAGCAGCAAAAGATTTTCAGGGCAGATGGAATGACTCAGCTGGATCTGGTTGGGGTGCATGGGTAGGTACCCCTTCTCCCAGCCCCAGGGCAGAGGACGGAGTAGCATGGAGCTGCAGGAGGCTGCACTGGTGCCATGGATGCTGGTATGAGAGTGAGTTTGTGGGAGTGCAGTTTGTGACACAGTGCTGGAGGGACAGGAACAGCTCATGGCCCCTCCATGGTCATGATGCTGATGCTACCAGAGTGTGCGTATCATCTTTGTTATTCTGTTTGCAATCATTTTTGTTATTCTGTTTGCAAAGGACTCTTCCTTCCTAGATCAATGTAGTTTCAGTGCTCTTTCTATCTGACAAAAGAAAGCACTTTCTCATTTGCAGACTGCATACACCTGGTATCTGTTCTGAAATTAATCATGGGAGACCTTCCCCTAAGGCCCATTACCTGAGAGTAAGAATTCTTAGAATTTCAGTCCCAAGCAACACTTCATTCCGCAAATTTAAACAATAAAAAGGGGGGGCAGACTGGAGCAGACTTCTAATCTTCACTAGAGCAGTTCTGCCAACAAATACCACCAGCTCAGATTAGGCTGACAGCTATGAAGATAACTGCGCCATAAAAGTAATTGCTCCTTCTGCAGAGGGAGGGAAAATCTTGTTATGCAATGGCTCTAAGCATATGACAGCCTTCCAGCAAGTGAGAACCAGTGGCTGCTACATGCAAAACTCCTTTATATTCTGAATCAATGTCTGTGTAGAAAACTGACATCTTTGGTTAGCATGGAAGGTGGGCAGATGTGGACTTGGATGGGCAGTCTTTCTAAAAAGAACCTCAGTGTCTCACTGTCTCCTTTATTTTCTGCTATTCTAGGATGTTATTATATTGCCAATGTACAGCTCCAGAGACAGGAGGAACATTTTTGCAGTCAAATAGGGATTTCTAAAAGAAACCACCATGTGTCCCTTAAGTATCCATTTAGAAGATGGAACATAAAAGGCAAATGCAGTCCATCTAGCATAAAATTCAGCACAGAACAGCAGAGAGCAGTGACAAAGCCACAAAAGAAACATAAACTGCCAGGATACTGTCTGGTCATTCTATTAGATAAAATCCAACTGCTAGGTGATATTTATCTCTGTTTGTTAAGTCTTATGCAACTGCTCACCACCAAATATGTTTGATATACCATATAAGGAACTAGAAGTCTCTCTACTAGGGTTATTTGCAGACATTTTCAGTTTTCCCTGTGTTCTGTAGTCAAGTAAACTTGGAATCTTCAAACTTTCTTCTGGTTTTACTCTGAACAAAATTTTATGGGTTTGCTTGTCCCATGTGTGCTCAAGAAGGCTTGCTGAAAAAAATTCTGAAAGATCTGACATAACCCTGCCAAAACCATTATGACATGAAACATGCATCTTAATGCAAAACTGAATTGTTGTTGCAACTCTCAGTTGGATCTAACATGTTGCATTCAGCCACAGATAGCCTTTGCCCCATACCAGCCCACTCAGGTTAGAATTGGCATCACGTGAGCTAAGAGGCTGAGAGACCTGTGCATGCAAAGGTGCTTGTGCGAGGGCTAATATCACGTCATCACTCTAACTAAGTTTTTAGTGAAGATTAAGTCATAGGAAATATAATCTCTTCCGAGATTTCCTTCCTTTCGTATTGCTTTACCTTATTATCATTAGAACCAACCAGATTTTCCATTGCACTACCACTACAAGAGAGCATTAGAAAAAATAACAATCCCTGCCCCAAAGAGCTTACAATCTACAAATAAGCCCCAGTTGATTTTTATTTCTGAGACAGACAAACATGGGATAGCTTTGGGTTCAAGAATTAAATCTAGATCTTCCAGTATTCAGATTCTCCTTGAGCAATGCCAGATGTCAGTGACCCAGCACCAATGTATATCATCCCCACAGACCCCAGCAGCAGAACCCTAGGGAGACCCTGGGTACACGATAAGCTGGAAAATTTCCTCAACTCATCCATTGGAGAATCTATTTCCACTCAAACTCTTGAGCTGGCAATTTTAAGTGGGATCTGCTGGTGCAGGGTGTGTTGCCTTACCAAAGCCTGCTCAATAAGGAGGCAGAAGAGAATGGCATTGCCCACTTCTCTGAGGCTCTGGAACACATCAGTCTTCAGCTCTGCATACTCAATGATGTCCTTCAGTTGGTGGTGGAAAAACTCCAGGATTCCTTAAAAGACAAGAGAAAGCAGTCAGAAGAAGTGAGTGCAAAAGCATCCTTCAGTGGTGTGGATTAAAAGGCAGTCAGGGCCTGGTGCTTCCTTTGTCATGAACTGCAAAAACTACTAAATGGATAGATAGGGATAGGCACTGGGCAGAACCAGCACGCAGTGTGTCATCCTGCTTTCGCTGACCCATGAGAAATAGGGAGTAATTCCTGTGAAGTCCTTGGATTTCCTCATCGGAGAAAAAAGAGATTCAAGACTGGTATGGATGTCTTTGTGCTGGTTCATTTATAACAGTTTTCACATCCAGCCGAGTTGCAGACTGCAGTCATACGGTAAAAAATCTTTCCATCGAAGTAGAGCTTTAGAAAAAGTAATAGTGAAGCCACTGTAACAAAAGCTTAAAAATCCTGAAAACAAAACCTTAACAACCAGCAGACATACCCTTATCAATCATCTGTGTGTTCAAAGTGAAATTTGTAACAGGAAAGTTGTGTCACAGGGAGCACCAGCACAGTGGATGCTCATCCTTATTTAATTGAGTAAATGCTGTGCAGGGATTTGGATGAGCTCTTGCACAAACCATGACACGTCTCACTGTAGCACCCACCTGGAGAGCCATATTCGTGTCTTGGCAAGCGGCATATCTTGGGCATGACTTCTATCAGAGTCTTCACATACTGCAGGATGGTGCCTTGCAGCTGTAAGAGACAAAGAGGGGTTAAACTGGAAAGATGGCTTCTTCTGGCCTTGGTTTTAAACAGAACAGACTGTGGACGGGTCCCTGTCTGACAACAAAGGGTGAAACTTTAGTTGGAGTCTAAGAACTTGCTTCCTTTGGATTTCACCCAAATAGTCCAGCCCAAGTGCATGGAGTTTTACAGCTTCCTCCTGAATAATAAATAATGGTTGCATGGATTTTCTACTTCAATATACAGCTCATTGTGTTTGCATTATTTGCAGCTGAAATCCAAACAAGGCTCCATCGTAGATCCAGCTGGACTTGTGTTCCTAACCCAAAAAGCATTTCATTGGAGCTGCTAAAGGAGTCATTCCACAGCACAGGAAATGGTCTTTCCACCTGAGGAATGATTCTTGACACTGAAAGTTTAAAAAAATTAAAAATATATACACATAGAACAAGTTCCTGCAGATTGGATGTTTTGAACTAATATGGAGAAAAGTGTATTTCTTAGTTAAAAATGCTTGCTGTCATTTGGAGTTATATAAATACATCCTGTAGATATATTACATGGGATTATGTGATAAACATAATTTAGCCAAATGCAAGATCTCTGTCTTCTCACTGAATGCTGTCTGATCTCACACAACAGCTACGGTGCTTTCAACTGAGTGACACAAATTACATCTTCAACAGTTACAGTGCTTTACAGCAGAGAAGCTGGGTATATGCTTAAGATTCAGGTCTACATTGCTTTGCTAGATAAGTTCAAAATTAAATCACTGCAGCCAAAACAGAATTTAAATATTTATAATGAATTGAAGTCTTCTCTTTGGTGAAACAGTTTTGGGTAGAAAAGCATGACCTGAAAAATGATAAATTTTTGCACGCTCCCTCCTGCCTTGTTAATGTTCTCTATTGTTGGTGCCCTTAGGGAGCACTTCCCTGTGGATATCACATCTCTCTTTTGAGAGCAGTACAAAGCAGATGGAGCTACTGGCTTCACCATATCTGATGGAAAGGGACGTATGGCTTGAATTCTTAAGAGCTCACATGTAACAGAAATTTCTTTGCAAACTCTTTTTCATCAGTTTCGTGTCCTCCTCCTTAGCAAAAGCAAAACTAGACCATGAATACAAGTGCTGCAGTGTGGATAAAGGGACACAGAAGTGCCTAGGTTTCAACAACCCAAACCAAAACCTGAAGGCCAGGCTGACCCTCCAATTCATGCCTCTCAAAGCATCGAGATTTCTCTGCTGCCAGTGTCAGGCTCAGCATTACCAGGCTCTTGACGATCTTCAACAGCTCTTCCATGACCACGGCAATCCCCTGATAGCCAAGCAGCCTGCAGATTGTCTTGAAATGAGGTGGCCCCACAAAGTTGCGGTAGGAGCTATAGATGTGACTGTAGGCAATGTTGAGAGGCTGAGAAAATAGAAGCACAGTGACAGTTAGGCACATTTACAGGACTTGTAAGTAATTCTCTTATCGTATCAAGTGTTCCGTCACTTGAAATCATTTTGAAGGAAAGCAGGAGAAATAATGATTCCTGTAAGAAATTTCTTACAATACTTCTTGAGGTACAAAAATATTGCTCTCTCTTCTGTGTAGTCAAATGCATTCTACTCTGAAAAAAATTGTCATGTCACAAGGTTTATTACCCTGCTGCATAGCCAACACCACTTTCATTTCTAAGATAATTTGCTCTTCTACGTATTTGCAGTCAAGGATTTCAGTTCACTGGCCCTTTGCCACTTCAAACCCAAGTTCTTCTCCACCAAAACTGAAAGCTTTATACATGAAAAACAGGGTAGAATTTTTCGTATTGGCATTTGCTTCAAATGAGTAACAAACAGTAAGAAAAGTAGGAAATAGAGTATGAGACTAAGACCAGTTGGAAGAGACTCAGAAATGACCCTTTCTGCATCCTGTACAGCTCTACATACTGATACTTGAGACATTTACATGTGACTGAGCCCAAAGGGAAGAACCTGATCCTTGTCTAGAGAGCATACCTGGGGCTCTGACCATTAGTAAATTGTTAGCAGCACAAAACAGAAGGCAACTTTCAGGAGCATGTTTTATCAATATAACATTGGAAATACGGGAATTACTGCAGTTTTTTGGCATTAGAACATTTTTTTTATTCATTTGGTGTAAGAAGAAGAGAAGTAGGGGAATTAATTCACTTGTATGATTGGCAAAAGAAACCAAAAATCAAAAAGAAAACTGATTTTAGCTGAGACACCGCATGTTCAGCTTGGCATCTGTAAGAGAAGTGCTGGCACCGTGACTCAGCCCCACAGAGAAGGGCTGCAGCCTCCCCCAGGAGATCTGTGACAACCACAGCTCCAGTACACAGCACTGAGTCTTAGAAAGGCTCTGGCACGTAGTGCCGCTTCCAGCAAAACACAGATGAAATCCCTGGCTCAGAGCTGCTAAAAGATCTGAAGACTAATGAAACAAATTAAGTTACATCCAAATGTGCTGTGCAAGGCGTGCTGCATCCTTCCACAGCAACCACAGACTCAGCTCTGCAGGAATTCCCTTCCATGCCAGCACCAGGGACAGACTCTGGCCAGGGCACCTGAGAGACCACCACACTGGAGAGCTTAAGGTGAAAGGCAGCAAGCACTGAAGTAGCAGATGAGGACAAAAAGGTGGATCCTCAGCTCCTTCTGCACCTAGCAGTTGCAATACAGCCAGTTGTGCTCAAAGGCTTCACTCATCCTCTCCTTCTGACTCACTTCCACAAACCTAATAAGTTAGGAAGTGAAGTCATTTGCTAGGAACCAGAATAGTGTTTTCTTTTGCTCTCAGATACAGAATTCCTGCTGACTGATGTACTGATAGCTCTTGTGGACTTGACAGTTGCTCTAATCAGTGAATTAATTGTTCTGTTAGAACCCTACTGCCCTGATCCATCAATGTTATCACCTCCTATGATTGCTAGGTACTCCTCTAAAAAGCTAGCAGGAAAAAAAGTTGGAGAGCCCCCTGCTTCTCTTAAAACTTCACCGTTGGCCCTGATAGACAGAGAAACCCTTCACCACTCTTCTGTGCATCAGTACTGTTATATACACAAAGCCAACCTTGTAGTCTCTGTAGTGCGTTCATTCACAACGTGCATGAACTTTCTCCTCCATCAAAACTAAGCAATAGGCCTCTGAATAGTAAGGGTCAGAGTGAAATAATTTTGGGGAGATAGAATTGGTCGCATTTTCCTGGAACGGGGCTGACATTTTGCTGCACAGGCAGACGATCTCTTATTGCAGCCTCCTGCCTTGCAGCAAAACACAATGCTGCTACAGTGCAGCTTTGAAGCTGTCTTTTCCTTCGAGTGGGGGTCCCAGCAATAAGACTGATTAGGAGAAGATACATTTTAGGCTGTGCATGGGCTGCAGATGAGGAGAGTGATTCATCCCCTCCTGTCTGCAAGATAAGGTAGGCTCATTAAGCTCTCTGCACAGCGCATTAGCAGCAGGCTTGCGTCTAATAATAATACCCTGTGAGCAATTAAAATATACCTCCATTTAAGGGCGAGATACACAACTTAGTTTAAAGACTGTAGGATGTAAAATATGACACCAGGGTGTATTTTAAGACAAACCAGCTGAACGCACAAGCTGGCTGTGTGGCACACTCACTCCTCCACATTGTGTGGCCACTGCCACCCCCCAGGAGCAGGAGCAGAGCCCCTCTCCTGCAGGCCCACAGGAGGCTTTACTGTTCACAGGAGCAACAGCCACTGAACACAAAGTAGAGGTTTTCCCTGCCTTTGGTTTAGGGCCGGACGGGCAGGTTTTGGGGCTGAGGCTGGGTGTGCAGGCAGGTTGGGATCTGTGGCAGTGGCACAACCAAAGATTAGTCCTGACTATCAGCCTGACTTCAGTGCCACAGTTGAGATGGTGTCTAAGAAAGTACAAAGCAATTCTAGGACTTTTATGGAAAGTAAACAGAATCAGAGAGTCATTTGAGTTGGAAGGGTCCTTTAAAGGCTACGTACCCCAACTCTGCTGCACTGAACAGGAACATCTACAGCTCAGTTAGGTGCTCAGAGCCCAGATCAGCTTGACCTTGAATATTTCCTGTGATGCAGCAATCTGTTCCAGTGCTTCATTAAAATACATATGTCCTATGTGTGATGCAGAAATCATACAATGCAGTAGGCACTTTTATATACTGTATATAAACAATATCTCTGTCTATTCCATGCCTTAGCATAATGCCTTGCTATACTGACTGTAATTTTATATATACACACACACGTACATACCTACATAGACTGCTATAATGTATGAAGAGCCACAGCAGGAGAGGTAGCACAGCCCCCACAGCCTGTTGCAGTTGATCAGCATCCCCCACTGCCAACACCACCTGCAGCATCCACAGCTCCTTCACACCTCAGTGCTGCTGCTGCAGACGTGGCAGCAGTAAATAAGAGTGGTTCCATCCCACTCACACAGCATGGCTATTTATACAGCTGCCAGCAGCATGCCTTGCCCTTCAGGTTACATCTGCTCTCATGCTTGCTAAAAATGGGTGGGCAAAGTCAGCTGTGAGAGGGAAGTTGTGATTTTCAGTGAGTCTGACATGACCCTGGGTCCAGCAGTGCCAAGAGAAAACAGAAACACCCTTGAAAGTACATAAATTAAACCCAATCTAAAGCATTTACAGAGCTAAGAAGTGGTTAGCAAGCAGTAAGAAGTGGGTTGCTGTTGATTTACAGCTCCTTTGTAGGAAACTTGGCAACCTGCTGCATTTTCTAAGTGGCTGAGTGACAGAATTGCTCAGTTTCTGCTGACCACTCAAACACATTCATGGTTTGCATCCCAGAGGGTGGAGTGGCAGGCAGGGACAGCCAGGGTTACTGGCAGATGTTATTTGGGTAGAAGGGAACAAAGGTGCCGGAGCAGACCTTTTTGACACAGTTTTGGTGTTTTCTTGTCCACAAAAAAGACGATTTCTAGCTCGTCACCAGTGTAAACTGGTGCTGACTTGACTTTGGTAATGCCAACAGCACTGAAAACTTTGCTACAGTTCTTTCAGAGCTCATGGCATTGATCACTGCATGGAGAAGAGTTAGCAGGATGCAGCTATTCCTGTTTTCTGTGCTTTCCTCTGTTCCTGTTAACACGTTATGTACGAACAACTGAAATTTAATTTTGAAACAACTGTGAACACCACTAACTCAACAACCCATCTGCAGAAGAAAAGCAATACTCCCATGAAGTATTATCACATGGTGACATCTTTCTGAGCACAGATTTGTATCTTCAGCTCTCTCCCTGCCGACAAGGATGTACTTTCTTCACAGCATGGGAGCAGCTAAGAGCTCTCCATTCCCTTGCTCCTGCAAGGAGGACTGAGCGATGTAAAAGGCTGGAGGCCGCCTGGGAGCACTTTCATTTCCATCCCTACCTATAATTATTTTCATCTTTGCTCCCCGTTTTCAGCTCCCTGGCAGCTGCAGCCCACTCAGAAACTGAAGGAAATACGGCAGGACTTGGAAGATAAACACACACAGAACTGCAAAGTGTCAATCAAAAGCAACAGTCACACGTACTGCCTGGGCTTGTAACAGCCTCGCCTAATCTGGTTTGCATCATCTCCTCACTAATGACATTTTGAAGATCTATGAAATACTGCAGGCACCTTCCCAGCAAGAACGTGGAACTAATAACTCCATAGCCAGAACTGAAATTTACTTTGGGAAAGTTCCTCTCTTGAATACATTTTGGCTTCACAGAGCAGCAAGTCATTTCTTCAGAGCCTCTCCTTACCAGTCCTGCTGCCACATCTGTCCCTTCCTGTCAGCTCTTGGCTATGGACTCGGGCTGCTCTCTCAATGGCTTTGCCTCTCCTTCCTTCCCTGAGTATTCAGAGAAAACCCAGTTCCTGCTCCTATCACACAGCTTGGAGATAAATTAAAAAGCAAATGGACATTGCCTCAGTATCAGGGATGAAAATCTACAGCTCACTGGCTTTAAACAGCAGTTTAAACGTGCAAGAAATCATAGCAATAAAGACAAAACCTCTGAGTGCTAAGCTATCAATAGGCCAGGATGCTGGATTTCACACCATATACCAGTATGGCTCTAACTCCAGACACTTCTGGAGGCAGTAGCTCTGGAGCAGGGTAGCAGTGTTGCTGCAGGGCTGCAGATAGAGATGGATAAAAAACCTAGAAAAACAAACTAGAAAACAAAACAAAACTGGTTTGCTCATTGTGCCTCGGAGACACACTTCTCCCAGGCAAAAAGCTTTTAGGGACACCATTCCCAAATCATTTGAAGATGCCTGCCCATCCTTTCCTACTGGTTGCTATGGTGAGAGATGACGGAGCCCAAGATGGGTATAATACGAGGCAGCGTGCGGAGCAGGGATTTAGCAGAGCAGGAGGGACGCAGCGGTGAGAAGAGGGGAAGGTGCTGCGCTGCTCTCCTGCACTCAGGGGCTGCTGCAGAGCTGCTGGGGAGGTAAGCTGCTTCCTGTGGCTCTGGGAGGGCTTAGAGATGGGTGCATGTGCTTTTCTGCTCTGTAGGAATGGATACAGTGGCTGTTAAGATGAGCTGCTTCTTGAGAGAATTAAGGGAAAGTTAGTTCTCTTAAGGGAGAGGGGAGGAAAAGAAGAAAAAAAGAAATGAGATCGATTGCATGCAGCTTCTGCTTGGAGTGCTCAGGTGGTTGGGGGAAGAGAGCCCTGCAACAAGGCTCAGAGGGCACTCTGGTGTCCCAAGATGTACCAGCTGTTATGGCTGTTGTTAATCAGGGATGTGTTACTGAGTAGTCTTTTATTAGGGGGAGAGCTTTGTCATTCATACACTTGTAATCCCTTAAAGAATTACAATATTACATCACATAATTGTAATATAATATTGAATATTGTATTTCAGCAATTTTCAGATCTCACAGTTACTATCCTAATATTACAGTGTGAGATGCTGTAGTAACAGAAATACTTTATTGTTTATTAATCAACACATTAAATATGGAAAATTCAGCAACAGCTTAAACAACTATCGAATCATTATGCAGCTTTTCTGTATGACATTTAGGTATAAAAATTAATCTTTAGGAAATTCTACCAGGCAAGCCTAATTATCAGATTATGTTAATCAAACCTGCAGTATCCTTTCCATTCAGTGGGAATGTAAAGCAGAAGTGCTAAAAAAGCTTCCTGTATAGACAACCAGTCACAAAGAAGAGATTTTTCAAAATCTAACTGGACCATAATGTACACCCTATGTCCTACATGTTTGGTTGTTGTTTTTTTCTTTCAAGAAGCAGGCTGATAACAGTAGTCTGGGCACCAAGCAGGTTTCATCTTTGGTAATTTTAATCACCTAAGATCGAGCATCTATCTAAGCTCATTAGGCATAGCCCTAGGCAGCCAGTGGAAAGAGCTCCCTCCCAGGCTGTGGGCAGCTCAGTTCCCACAGTCGCTTTCTTTTTGCCTCTGTAAAGGGGAATATGACATTTTCTACATTCAAGGAAGTGAAGCTGTGGTGACTGAGGGAAAAGATGGTAACAACTATCAGTGTGGAGATCATGGAAGCAGTAGTATTAGAAATGAAACTCTTGAGTGCAGCAGGTGCCTCAACAGATTGAGTTTCATTTCCACAAACTCCCCTAAGCGTAGGAGTCTAGGGTGAAAAGGGCAGGTTTTGAAGCAGTCAGCTGAGTAACTCAGCTTCTGAAAGTTTGCTGAAGACCCTGAAGACAACTGCGATGAAGTTTTCTGTCTGCTAGAGAGCACCTGCAGTGCTTAACAGTTCCAAAAATGCAGTATTTTTTAGTGTCAACCACTGGCAAAACACTTAAAAGAGATTGCAGGGACAATTGTGACTTATCCAAAGTGCAGTGTGTTTTAGTAATTACTTTTACAAAAGGCACAGAGAGTTCACCTGAACGCCTACACAGGCCCAGTCTAAGGGCCAGTAATACCTGTGGAAAGCCTTTACTGATGTCAGTGGCCTTTAGGACTGTACATGCATTGGGGAGCTCAGCCTCTTGCTGGTTCTGGTTTCAGGGACATGATGAACATCGACGTGCACAACATCACCTACACCAGTGCCACAGTCTCCTGGACCACCACCAGTCCCTGTCCGGAGAACTACTACCACGTCATGTACCGCCCCAACTGGAACAGCGTCTTTGCTGGCTATTTGCGCCAAAACTTCCACCGTGAGGAGCGAGTTCCCCACTCCCTCAGCTCCATCATCCTCCATCGCCTCACGCCCTCCACCATCTATGTCCTCTGCATCACGTGCAAGAACTCCTACCCCTCCAGCAACCACTGCACCACGTTTCACACGCTGGACCAAAACCCCCTACTTTTCAGCGGCTCTAAGCACGAGCCCACCACCTCCATGTGGATGGTGAGCAGCCTGTTGCTGCTCTGCTTTATAGCTCTCTTAGTCTACGGCTGCCTGCAGTTCTGGGCTGCACAGTGCTGTGGGCCTTCCAGGCCAAAGCAACATGATGCCAGCCCCGAAGAAGTGGGTGAAGGCAGCAGCTCGTTGGATGGTCCTCTGAGTGATGGACTGAAAGAAGAGCTTCTGGAAGTGCCAATGACCACTGTGCTCATGAGGAGCTCTAGTTTCATGAGGGAGAGTCCGTATAGTTCCCCACGCTGCTTCTTCCCCTATAAGAACAGTGATGATAAGACAGCCATCTTGCCGCAGCACGGCCTTCAGTGAGAGCAAAATAAAGAGAGGCACTGCTTGGCAGTCTGGTTCATGATGCTCTTTCCCAGCTCTTCCCAGTTTGTGTATGCACAGGGGCTGTTTGTCCCAGGGTAAAACATGAGGTAGGAACATTATCTGCAGGGAGAAAAGCTTTTTCAAGTGACAAAAATATTATCATTCACTGAGGGGTTTTTAAAAGGAAACAAAGTAAGCTTTCTGGGAATGGCCACGCTAGGCTGAATGTAGTGTCACTGTCTAATCTGCATCAGTGCTGTAGATCACATCAGCCATCAACCAGCATGCACAAGAAATAAACTCCACTCCAATACTTTCATGCCTGAGTGATCCTCCACTAGCATCACACCCCAAGCCCTCATAACACTTGTATAAAGTCATCATGGCCTGACAAAAGAGCTTTTTGTCAGTGTTAAGTAGTTTACATTTGCACTCCAGCATTTTAGTAACTCCTGTTCTGAACCAGAAATGGGATTCCTGAGCAGCACCTTTCTCAGGGGGCAGCACCGAACTGGAACTCCAGCTAGCTCTCCTCTCTCTGTGTTTAGATGGATATGACTTGGTCTAGGAACGACCAGCAAGCAAAGAGTGGTGTCAGCACCCCCTCACACAGGCATGTTGTGGAGAAGAATATGGGAAAGCAATAGCAAAAAGCACACTGAAGCTGCTTCTTGCATGGCTTTTTTGTTTCACATGACAATGTGATGCTGTACATTCGCACTCGTCACACTGTTATCGAACAAAATATTGCATTTGTTTCTTCCTAAATAAAGGATTCCAGCATCCACCCCTGCTGGCTGCCATGGCTCATTTACTGACCTTGGACCCATAGAGGTAATATGGTTGAACATTGGCTGGTTTGTCCCGCTGGGGTTCCTGCGTAAAGGGGATTGCTGTCCTCACAAACCTGCAGCAGGCATAGGAGATAGGAAGGTAAATAGTCAGTGCCAGAGGTCAGCTGTGGGCAGTGCAGACATCATGCGGTCCAAGAGGAACTGTGGTTGCAGACTAATTAGCAAGTCGTCATCTGAGCTACACGTGCAAAATCTGCCCCAACCTATTGGTGATATAAAACATATCAACATATTATGAAAGTTTTGTTTTTTTTGGAGGCAAGCAAGAAACCCACATCTGAGCAGGGACCACAGCTCTGCTGACAAGTCACAACACTCTAGACTGAACTACCTCAGTTGTTCATAATCTCTGTCCAACTTTGTTTGAATGTGTTACTAGAGCTTCCAAGACCAAGGGGAGATGGTGGACTTTAACTCTCAGTGCTGCACATCATAGGGAATAAAAACTTCCCTGCAATGCATGTGAATTTTATGTGGCAGGTTTGAAATTCTGGAAAGAAATGTAAGGTCTCCAGGTGCTCTGGTTTTCCTCCTCACCTGTTGGTGGATCCATTGTAGCAGTAGTTGGGTAGAAAGTCAAAGTTGAGCTCCCAAAAGACATGGAGGGTGATGCGCCCATAGGGTGCAGAGACATTGTGGTTGGCTTCCCGGAACATGGCATCAAAGCTATCCAAAGTCATGTGCTTGCACAGCAACCTGTGAGTCAGGCGATTTATTTCCAAGAGCCACTCCAGCTCCTGCAGCACACAAAGCAGCAGCAGATGACATGTGTTACCAAGATGACAATAGAAACTGTTGATTCAGTTGCCAAGGGATGATATTATATCCACACCCACACAGAGAACTTCCCAGGTGAGGATGTAACAAATGTTAAATACAATGATTTCACTCAGTGACTGAGGCCAACTGCACTTCTACTCAAGGGGGTCCTGGTCCACTATCTCCTAAACCTGCAGGCAGCAAAATTAATTTGTTCCCCACTGAGTGCTGGCTGGCTTTCACATCAGAATCCTTCAGAGGTGGAAACTGGTAATTTTACACTACTTGACTCTGATACTTCTGTAAAGTATCAAAGGCAGAAAATCCTGCACAAACGATCTCAGCTACCTGTATTCAACAGGGGGAATTACAGTCAAGATTTCCTACTGTCAGATCACTGGACTCTGTTCTATGAGCTCCGCAAAATTTAAATACTGACTGTCACCTTATGATTTACTCAAATAGTTCACAGTCTAATAATAATGCAATTAAGGCTTCATAAGTAGAAACAGTAGAGATTCAGTGTCATAAAGGAAAATACATGGTTGGCTGAACCCTACTGTAGGTGGGACAACTAGCAGAAGATCGCTGACTCTGTATTCATAGCAGAGTATTATTCTCTCAATTCATATTCTCAGTAATAGTTCTTACCACTATGGATGTCAGGTCCTCACTCTCAAAGCGGCTAATGGCCTGGTCTAATGATTTGTACATTGCTGCTGAGATACGCTGGGTTATGAGCCTGTTCAGGTCAATTGACCTGCCCAGCAACTGGGAAAAGAAGAAAAGAGAGGTGTATGTTACATTCAGATTAGGGTAGGTTGGTAGTAAGCCCTCTATTGGGTTCACCACTACTTGGAAATAAGGTTGGAAATACGGAGTGTAACTCATTAATTCCCTCAACCCAGTGTCCTGAGTGCAGTGAGACAGAAACACATTCAATTCTTCTCATTCCAGCACTGGTTTCAATTGAGCCCAGCACTAGGATGCCAGCTGCCCACTAAAGAATAATAGATTAAGAGCTATGAATAATACTTGCTTGCAGTGTACCTGGACATGCCTTTGCTTGAGCAGAGTCTCATAGCGGTTTGATGGTGGGTATGGAATGATCACCCCATAATTCTTGCATTCAGCCCGGAAACGTTTGTCCAGCAAAACACTGAAACAGGCAACTAACATCAGGAAAGCGCAAACACAATCTTCTCTCTGGATCTGTTCCAGAGTTATATTCATCCTTCTTTTCATCTTGGTCTGAATGCCAACAAATGTCCACTTGCTTTGCTTTCATTTCTAAGTCACAAAGCAGCAGTTGTCACCTGGTGACTTCCATGCTGCTACCACTCTTGGCTTTTATGGCTAAAACATCCAAAAATATAAAAGACTGTACTGAAAGATATCACTAGTACCAAGTAGTGGGGTGGTCTCCTTTTCTAAGACCAATTGTGATCTAGAAACAAAACTCCTTGCAGAGTTAGACTAAGACTTGTGCACATTTGGAGACATGAGAGGAGATTAGAGTTCATCTGTATTCTTTAAATTGTTGAAAGGAAATGTCACAAAGGGCTTATATCCTCATCAGGGAGCAGGTAACTGCAGAAGTCCTGCAGTCTGAGGTATGACCTATGACTGTGTATCAATTTGGCCATTTTAAGTCTTGATGCTCTACTAGGGTGAGGACAAGTGAATATCCCTGCTTCCTATAGCTGGGAGGCTTCCAATACTCATCTGCCTGGTACACAATCAAAAGTCAAGCAAGGACATGTCTTCAATAGGATTGATCTGCTCTGCTGCTGCTCCAGAAAATGGTACTCAGACAGCTACATAGGATATCAATCATTTGTACTTCACTGTTCACCATGTCCGCTTGCCACCATTAATTTATTTTCCCTATCTACACTGGTCTGACATGGATACTAAGCTTGGTGAGACAAGGATAATCTTTTGTTTTGTCTACCTGCAGTGGCTACTCCCTGAGGGGTACCTTTTGGTTAACAGCAATATCATCACTCAGCAGCAGCAGTCGGGTTCTCCTACCTGCCAGCCATTGCTTTATAATAGGCAAAGATCTGATCTGCCAGCTTGTACACAAACTGATCAAAGCATAAATTCACCTGGGGGAGAAAAAAAAAATCACAAAGATGTCACCATTGCAAAGTGGCTCCTTCCTACTCTTACAAGATTGGTATAACTCAATACAGAGCTTATAGTTTCTGCCTGTTCTTACAGATCCCAATCTCCCCACACCCAGTCATCCTTCGCTCTCAGAGATCTCCAGGTTGTCATTTTCCTCTGATGTCTCATAACCCTTTGCCCATCAGACAGACTCTTCCAGGCTCACAGTGTCTGACAGCATTTGGCTTCCTCTGGTCCCACAGTACTGCTAAGTTGAAGCCCTTAATCAACAGAGCATGTAAGCTCTCTGAATATTTTGATCTTCTGAAAATCTCTCAGAATATATTCAGAATATCAGAATATATATTTTTCAGGGTACGCCTATTATTGATTCACTGAACTGCTGGGCTGGGCTGACAAACAGGACAGTGTGACCCCTGCTGTGCTCTTTCTATGCAATAAAGAGAAACTTACTTCAGCTTCAATTTCATCGTACAGGAACTGCTTTTTGAACTTGGTCAAGGCATAGTACGCGCTGTCATTATAGAGGTCCAAGGGGTATAGTACATATCTGAGGACAAGAAGACATCATATCTTCAATTAACCTTGGAGATATCAGCATAAAGAGCAGCCACTCAGTGCAAGAACTGGCATTTTTCTGTCTTTCACTCCTTTTACCTCCATTCACTCCAGACCCTCAAGTTCCCCCATCTCACTCCTTGTATGATATGCTGGAAGCAGCAAGAACAGATCTGGGTGTGTGCTGTGTCTTATTCAATCAATGCCATCTCCTTCTCTGCCCTATAAAAAATGTTGTCTTGCCCTCATTCCAGAGTGCCTTGCCAATGGTTATAAAATGGAAAACAAAGCTTCCTTAACGAGGAAGATAATATGAATATAATTATACTTGCATTACAGCAATTTCTGATCATTAACCAGATGTACAAAAGAAGTGCTTAAAGTTCTTTATCCAGGGTTCATGTCCCTTTGGTTGCACATGCTGTTTGACTGCTGTGTGCAGACCACTACCACCAAGTTGAGTGGATATTCTAATGCAGCAATTCCCAGCTGCTGGTTTATGATGGAGGATCAAGTTTCAATGTCAAGAAGCAGCTAGTGTGCATCTGCTGATGAGTTATTCATACATTACACACTTATGCAGCAGCAAGTCAAAAAACATGTTTGGTTTTTTTTCTCACCCTTGTCAAAGAGAGAGTTCATCCCCAGCCTACTCTTCACCAAATCAAAATCTCAAGCCCCACTGAAGGCACAACCCACCACAGCCCATCATCTCTTACTCCATCATGGAGGGTTCTTTGGTTTCCAGAATATGGTCCGTGAGGATCCAGGGCATGGACATTTCAATGGGGAACTGGATGCGGCGGCCCATCGTCAGCTCCAGGAAGAACTCCCGGAACCAGAGCTGGGAAAGGTCACAGCACTGCTGCAGCGCTTCTGCAACACAGAGAGATCCCCCAGTGGGAAGACTCAGAAGTCATCCTAGGATGGAAAGAAAACTCCACTCCTAGAAACTAAACTACCACTAATGGCTCTTTTGCTATTGCTGACTCATTCCTGTTCTCATAATGATTACTACCTAGAAGCACGCCTGCATCAGCCACAAGTAGAACATTTGGGAAAAATCAAGGAAAATCTTTTCTGCAAATCAATGAGGAGCAAAACTATACATAAACCTTTGCCTGTCCAAGAATGTGAGAGTTGGAGTCAAGTCTCCCCCTGCCATAGTTTCACTCACCACTGATGTTGAGAAGGTGGGTGAAGAAGAACGACTGCTTGTGGAACTCCTCAATGGCCAAGACTATCGGCCCATCCAAGCTGCTCCTCAGAGTCTTCTTGGAGCCACTCTTGTCTGCTATGAGGGACTCCAGCATGGTCCGCACCATGTAGAGCTTAGGAAGGAAGTTAACAGTCACTACTCTCCTGTGAGATACCACTGCATGCAAACGTGATGCTCTGCAGCAAAAATTAACACTTCTGCTTCTACTTCGGCTTACGCTCTACTTTCTGCACCCTTTGGGCCACCATCATTCTGAGATAGAAATAATCACACCCATAACAAGTGAGACATGGGGAACTATACAACAAGCTAGGCATCAAAGAAATGTTTAACATGTAACATGAGGGTAAAGACATTACTGGAGAGCCCATGGAAAGAGCTGCTAACCCACAGAATGGAAGATTCCTACATGACTGTAGCACCATTAATTCCATAGAAATAGAGATTTACATACCTGTGTACTTGATGGTCCTACTGCTCGTCGTGGGACTTTAATATCAAATCCACCCTTGGGGTCCTTTTCACCTCTCAGGCACGGATCATTTGGTGGCTCTCGACCTCCCTCCCAGTCACAGATTGTCTTTCGAATTGCTTGAAGAACACTGGGATGGGTAGGGAGAGGGAAATTAGTGCTTGATTTTACTGCAAGGCAAAAACACTCACAGCTATGAACATTAGCAGGGGAAGTATATGGAGGGGGGAGTTACACTGTTGTCTGTAGGGGAGTCATGTCCAAAAGTGGACTATGGAAAGAGTTGCTGGCTAAGGTATGTTGACTGACTGTATAATATTAAGCTGTGTACAGGACTACACACTTACATTGTACACCTGTACTATATACTGCACAAATAAAAACATTGGCTTTGTATTGCATTCAAGAAAGACCAACCTGATCAGGACATTCTTCTTCTTCCTTACTGCCTGCCTGAGGGGCTCTCGCAGCGTCACCTGGGCAAAGTCCTGCAAAGCTGCATAGATAGTGTTGCGGATGGCTTGGTTAAAGACACTCTCCATCCGGCCCATCAACACTTGTAGACCTTTGATCATGGCAATTACCTGAAACAAAAATTAAAAACAGATGTACTTCCTATTTTTTCATTTGTATGGAGAGGTCCATAAACATTAAGATAATTTGATAATAAATTCTATTAAAGTAACTTAAGTACAGCAAACAGGTGGCTAATTTTTTTTCTGTGTTATATGCTGGGGAGAGCATTTCCACCACCAGTTTCTTGCAAATGGCCCCTGTCCTTTGGCAGAATTTGTTTTCATTCTTGATTTCTTGATATCTTTAATAACACCCAACCCTGGAAAACTGCACATGTTCCAAATGTCCTTTGTGCCTGATAGGAAAACAGCCCTTGCTGGCTCTTAGTCACTCTTTTTTATGCAAAAATCAAAACTTCAAAATGCAGAAAAACTGATCTCCAGGCCACTCTCTCTGCCATGGCAGTAAGGAGAGCAAGGCAGTAGATGGCACCTACCTCCACAAAGGCAAACTTCTCTTCGCTGGTATAGTTGTACCGGGTAGCTCGTTCATACTCTTCTGCTGTTCCTGGACAGTCCTTGTTGCAGAACTTATCGGTGGGATGAACCAGCTTCCAAGAGTACTGCAAAATGGAAACAGATACTGTCAACACTGCCATGAGTGAGAAGCAAGCCTGAAGACTAAAGAGAGCTCTATGCCAGAGAAACAGTTTCTGGACATCAGTATACTTGCTTGACACAACTTTGGGTGCAGAATGTGTACTTTTTACTGGCTTGAACATCACTGTATTAAATATTGTTTTTGTTTATTTGATGGTTTGCCAGTTATATTGGGCTTTTGACATCTATGGGCTTTCTATGGTCATTTAAATTAGTTTTACTTGCGCAAGATCCAGACCTGTCATGCACACTTCCATACTTAATGTGGACACCCCAGAACATGTGAAGGGCAGTGCAGGTCTTGGGAGGGATGAACAAGTTCTCTTTCTCTATTTGTTGTAGAGAAGTTCAGGGTGATCAGCTGTCTGATTTTAGTATGTTAGTTAAAGGCTTAAAGTAAGGTGGCATGCAAACAGCCTCATCATTTCACAATCTGTACCGCATAGCCTGCTAACAAGTTGACACTCACGAAGAGGAGGACATTACACACTGATGCACTCACCACTTCCATGACATGGGCACTCCACTTGGACAGCAGCTGCAGTCCCCGTAAAGCAAGGTCAAAGAGCTCCCGGTACTCTTCATCGGACTTCTGGCTGTCCAGCCCTGAGCCGGTGACCACCTGGAGGAGATCACATCGTGTCAGGGCCGGAGTCAGCAACTTGCTGCAGCTTTGGTTGAGTCAAACAGCAGCAGCAGATCTCCCTCTCAAATCCCAGCTGAAATGAATTCCCCATGATCTTATGATCAAGATAAAACTGGGCTGTGCTTGTTTTCTCCCTTGAGAAAAGGAGTGTTACTTGGCAGGACTCTTACTACCCAGGCAGTCAATTTATTTCCTACAGAAAAATGAGTTTGACCCATAACCTCAAAGCAAATAACTGACCTTTTCATTCCACTTTCCCATTTCTCTGTGGTAGTCTAATACCACTGAACTCCTCTAGCCTTTACTGACATAAAGTTCAAATAAGCATATACAAATGCCAAAACAAAAGGGCTGAGAATTCTAACAATTCACTGAACTAACAGTGATCAATGAGGATCACGCAATTGCAGAAAACAGTCAGAATTGCATCAGAAAAGGCTCTGACATTCAGTAATGAACAGAGAACAGTGAATTTCCCTCAGAGCTCTAATGGCTCTGCGCAACAAAAAAGACCCATCTGCAAGACATGGGTGTTCTGCCACCCACAGCTGATGATAAACAACTAGTTGCAAAAATATTTCTACTCCTTATTTCAACTAAGCTCTGGCCAAAAAGTGATAGCTTTCAGAGTAGGTCTCCCAGTGCACAATTTTGCACCCACAGGGACCTTTCATAACTCATTTTCTTTTATTGCTGGATCGAGCAGCAGCTTGTTCCATTTGTGTCCTTTCACCCATCTCACTCTATGTCTTGGCAGACCATACTAATGCCACATTTGTCCTCTCTCAGCCTTGTCTGTCTAATGAACTCAATTAAAGCGACTGCCCCTGAGCTTACCTCACTGTTGCTGTAGCGAGCGAGCTCAGAAATGAAGCGAATGTGGTCATCTCGGATCTGGACCATTTGCTCACAGATGTTGTACTGCGGACTTATGCTGCTCTGAGTGCACGTCCACCTGAGCAAAAAAGCAACGGCTTCAAGAAGAGGACACAGGGCTCAGCTCAGACACCCCAGGAACAAAGCTTGTACTCAGCTGCTCTCTTCGTCTCAGTGTGCCCAAGACATGCCACCTTCAGGGCAAATGTCAGCTTGTGTCTTCCCTCTCACATTTAGGGCATATGATGAATTTCAGAGGTGGTCTCAGAGGTACGACAGGATGCTTGCTCCGCATTTCTACCAGAGCATCTCTGCTCCATCCACTCTGGAGGCTGCACTCCATTATGGGTTACTTAACTCTCATATGCAGAGGAGACTACTTCCCTAGCTGCTGTCAGGCAAGCTCTCAGGGAAGAACAAATTGCAGAGCTCCATCATCATTTGCATCCTTTCTGCTAAATATAAGGATAATCATTCCTTTGGAGGACATCTTTCTGAGTCTGAGGCTGGGTCATGCCTCTGCTACAAGGAAATACCCTGCAAGGAGCCAGCAGCAAAATATCCCTTCTGCTCTACTTGGTTCTGGGTTATATTGACAGCTCACTGAAAAACCCTGAGTGTAAACAATGAGCAGGATATGATCAAATGAACTAGATTTCATCTGCACTGAGCCACATGTACCGTGTAACAGTGCAATGCGCTCTTAAAAGGAAGACAGTTCTCCCCTTCCAGTGGCACAGTCATATGAAGAAGTGGTCACAATAAGCCTGGATCAAGTCTAATTTAACGTCTAATTTTTCCCAGATCCTTATTGGCTACAGACATAGAAACAGAATGGCTCCATTAGACTGATTTGAGCAAACAAACATGTTTCCATCATTACAATGGTTTTAGATGGGTTTTTTTTCCCCACTAAATAACCAGCCATCTTAAGATAGTCTTCTTCTCCGCTATAGACTGGCTATACAAAAGGGAAGTGAGCACCCTGCTTCTGACATGGACATAGACACAAAAACCCATTCCCACAGTTAACTGTAGGCACCTGTTGCCAATCCTTGTGGTGCTGGAAGGTGTTGGAAGTGCTGGACCATGTCACCCCTCGTTAATCCAGCCTCCCACATTCCCATCACTCCACTCTTACCCGTTTCAATGTCCTGTGTTCCCCACCGGACAATTGGCAGGCTAGCAGGAATTGCCAGGGCTGCCCCAGCCCTTCCTGCTACATACAATTTAGTCCACAGTGCAGTAACAAAAGGCCATGCAGGAAAAACACCAATTAAATCTATTTTCATGGAGACACGGAGGGAAAGAAAGTGACAAAAACAATATTAGTAAGAAATGGGGAATATATGGAACCAACTTGGCAGTTAATGCTGGAAGCCCCATGCAATTTGCTGAGAAAGCAAGTGAGTGAAGAAACATCAGTTAGTAAGGTGCAGCACAGAGACCTGGTAGACAGATTTTGAGACAGACATTAAATTGTGCACAGGTAAACAGCCCATGAGCTACGTCGGTTTTGAGATGAGAAAATGAAATGCTGCTGACACATTTTGTTGAAATGTGCTCTCTGAACGGTTTGGGATAAAAAGGTGTATATTTTTAGATAATCTTCCTTTTCAAATTTAAATTTTTGAAAATATTTTTTAAATTCACATTTTATATATATATATATATATATTTTTTTTTTTAATTGCCGTTTTGCTTGGGAAATTCTTCCATGTTACTCTCATTTTTCTCATGCACCTTTCAACCAGCCTTCAGGGGGGCAGGGAGGGTGCTCCTGGGGCAGCTAGGCAGTGAGCAGAAAGCAGGACCCTCCATAGGGAAGGGGAAAGCAAACAGGCAGCCTGTAGTCTAGATCCTGTCCCGACAGCTGTTCAGCTAGACTGCTGCTCAGTGACAGTGGAGAAATCTGACTTCTGCATGACCTGATCCCATGGGTAAATGGTCACTCAGTAGTAAAAGCCAGTCTGCAATCAGTGATTACAGCAAACACAGCTCAGACGGGCTTTGCTTACGTGCAGTGGTAAATGCTATTCCTAGGATGTCCAAACCCATCGGTGATTCTCCTAATAATAATTGAGCAACGTGCAAAGCTATAGAGACAACTGGGGCTTGGACACAAGTGGTGGAATCTGAAGCAACACCTGCAAATCCTCCTGATGGCCCTGAACCTGTGCTGTGACGCTGTGCTGCAGATCCCACGCCACAGTGACTGAGTACACCTGGAAAGACTCAATTTCTGCCTTTTTTTCCAGCAATATTCATTCATTTGTAATGCATCTGACCCACTCTTTTCACTTCATTCCTGCTGCCTTTCTGCAGTGCCTGAGCTAGAAGGCACAGTGCCTGGCTACTGCACAGATAGACCCAGCTGTGTTCATGCTCTGAAGGATTTTGTCCTTGGGATGGAAAACGTGGATTAAAATCTCTCCAGAGCAGGGACACGCTGCTCGCACTCACACAGCTCCGGGCGCACACGTCCCAAGCACTCAGCCGCCACCCCAGAACTGCGCACCATGCCTGCTCACCCGCCTGCACACACGGGAATGGCTCCATGGAGCTGGCGAGGAGATGTCTTCCCATGCAGGGACACACAGGTACACACGTGCACACAGAGTCAGGCACGCTGGGTGTGCAGCCCCCGGGGACACACACACAGGTACCTGTGCACAGACCTCACGCACGCCGAGGAGGGAGATGCAGCTCCCACAGCTTTCAGGACACACACAGAAGCCAAGAGACATTATGGCAGGCACTCACTTGGATTTGTTCTCCTCATAGTGAGCACTGGTCTTAATGTATCTGGCCAGTTCTATCTGCATATCGCCGAATAAAGGAACCACCTGCAGCTGCTGGAAAAGAAAACAAAAGATGGTTGAAACGCAGCAGAGAGTCCCTAAGGTGATGCAAGGGATGAGGAAGTGGCATTCTGCAGCTTTGAAGCTTCAGGCTGTTCAAACCTGGATGTGGGATCTTTTCACACTTAGGAACTGACTGAAAACTATCACAGAGGGTTTGGGGCAAAGAAGATCACCCACTGTGAGTGCTTTGGAGCCATGGGCTTGCCAGTACTGGCTTGTTTTTTGCCAGAATGCTGTAACCAGCATCAGCTGTGAGAGAAAAGGGTCATTTTACACCACAAGGAGAGAAGCATATTTCTCACAGGGGCTTACTTCCTCCCACCATAAACCTCAGGGAGAACAGAGGGATAAAAACTGGCACATTGGTATCTTGGCAGCACAGCAGGGAGGGGAGGTGTAGGCTGCTCTGCACTGCTGGAGATGTGGCCTCTTTCTCCAGGGAACTCAGATTTTACTTTGGCACTGTGGTTGCTAGTGATGTGTCTTATAGATTCTCCACAAAAAGAAAAACACAGTCATTGTCTGCTTGCATTTCAACACGGCTCTACTCCCCCTGCACATTTCAGGAGGATTTTGATGGGAAATAAATTCTAAGTGCACTGAACATGTCTGAAGCTCACAGAGGCCTCCCCTAGGCTAAGCTTTCAGATGCAAGCAAAATTCAGTCGAGAGCTTCCTACAACTCTTCAATAAAAAATGAAGCTTCAACTTCACCTAGAAGAGGTCTAGCCCCAAAAATCAAAGAATAAGGTGGCAAATTCACTGTCTTATTATCACACACTACTTTTCTGAGGCTAGCTTGCGTGGAGGATGTGCAATGCTGTCATCAGAAATTCCCAGTGGCACTTTCCTAAGCAGTTTAAATGAAAGGGTTGTTCTTTTTCGCTACTCAAATTCCTGTCAATCCACTAAAAATTTAATCAGAAGGCAGTAAGCAGATGTAGTAAGAGGAGCAGTTGGCTTTTCTTAGTGAGATCTGATAGTCTGGAGTGGTACTTAACTCATTGGGTGAGACCACAGCAGATGTTGGAGAAGAGCTCACAGAAAAAAGCTGGAAAGGAAAAAGTTATTCCATGCAGTGGAAGATATTGTACTAGTCCATTTCTCTAATGGACCACAACCTTTTTCAATGAACCACGGATGTGCTCAAGTGCAGCAAGATGACCAAACAATACAGATTATGCTGAAGACTTGGTTTAAACTGAGGCAAAGATTCAGTCAAACTTGCAAAAGTGAACTCAGAAAAAAACCTCAGAAAACTCCAAGAGATGTCATGATAAATCTCTTTTGCAAAGCTGCAGTCCTCAGCCATCTCGCTGGTGACTGGGAAGTATTCAGCCACCCCATTATCTCCCCGTCTGTGAGGTTTTGGTTTCTGTAGTTCCCTATGGGCGGTGTTTGAGTCTTGCCGTTTCTGGGAGATGACGCAAATATGGGTAAACAGCTCCTCACTCACTTGAGGTGAGGATGCAGCAGCAGGTACAGCAGCCTTCCATGAAACCAGCCATCCAGGCTCACCAACACATCTGTCCCTTGCCAGACCCCAACATGAGCTGACCTGCCCCAAACCTGGAAAGTCTCCAAGACTCAACCTGTGCACAGAACCAAAGGGCAGGAGAAGTCATCTCATCCTGCCAGTGTCCAGGAGATGCTTGTAGTGTGCTGAGCTCAAGCAAACCGTGTAATCAGGCAAAGACAATGCAAAGTCAGCCCTATTCTCCACATGTCAATGACAGCTTGCATACACACATTTGGGGAGGAAGCAGACAGGGTTACCCCAAATGTTTCTTGTGCTGAGCAGCCTGTGGCAATGTTTTCCTCCATACGGCCTGGGGAACAGCCCAGGGCTGAATCCAGCTGCACGTGGAGAAGGGGCAGAAGGAGGCTGCACAGCTGCTTCCCACCAAGCCTTCGGAGTGCCCAGCTCTTGCAGACCTTTCCCCAAAAACTTGATCCCAGATAAAACAAAAAGGACTCATCAAACCACCAAATCTCAGCCCCCTGAGGAGCTCTCTGAACACCTGCAAACTCCAACCAATACAAGCTCCCCAAGTAGCTTTTTGTCTTTTACAAGGAACAGCTTATATACCAGGTGAGACTGCCAATGGTATGTTGGCTGGCCAGCTATGTCCCTTGTCCCTCAACATGCCAGCTCAGCAGTGAGGTGAGGGACAGGGCAAACCCACCAAAAAATCATGGTGCTCTTCAGGAGACTGCAGCCCAGCCTGAAAACTGTGCCAAGCTAGATGTGGATATTGTCCTGGCATACTTTTCCCTGGTCCACAAAACAGACCTTCCTTGTGCCATTCCCATCCTTCAGCCCTTGACAGAAGGGCCATCATCTCCCATTTCTCTCATGCTGTGCCTCTGTGCCTATTCACATTCATGACAATCCCACTCCTCATCCTTCTGTCTCGGTAATTCCTTGATCCTTTAGGGTTTGTTTTTTTTTTGTAACTATAAATTACTCCCGTGTTTTTTTGTTGGTAGCATCTGCAATGATATAGATTGGTAGTTCATTGGTCTCCAGTCTCACCCAGACGGGTCACTGACCTTGAAGAATTTGTCTATTTTGCTAAGGTTGATTCTCTTCTTGGCATCCAGTTTGTAGATGTTGCTGACATTCCCATCCATAAGATACAGACCAAACCCCATCACCTGAAGAAGACAGAAAGGCAAAGTCTCATTAACTTAACAAGTTAAAGGCAATTCTTGTTTGCTTAGCAAACCTCTTCAGGATCCTGTGCCTGGAACTCACAGAAAAAACAGTATAAAATGTGCACGTTTGCAAGGAATGTGTGTGGTAGGTAGAGTACACATTATGGAATACTTCTGTTTTCTGTGCAAAAATGCATGGTTCTCAATTGTTCCTCCTCTCTCACAAATAAAGACAATCCCAAATTCTTCTCCACTCATATTTTAGGCAAGCATTTGCTCCCAGAAAATTGAAAACATCTAAAATATTCTCCTGAATTGATTTTTTCTCCTTAATTCAGTGCAGATCATTATAGATATTAAACCTACCCACATTATCCTTCAAAGAATCTAAGCTGACTCATACTGTAGTAATGATGTTCTTAGGGTAATAGTGACTATAATCACTGTAATAACTGACTTACAATACGGACAAACATACTAACTAAGCAAGCTGTGTGCCCATAAAATATTGGCTCTTCAGAAAAGGGATGCATGTAAACCCAAAGGAGAAAAAAATAAAGAAAATGAAGAGAAGCATTGTCTTGGAAGGGAATTTCACTTTACTAAATAGAAAGTGGAACTACCGAAACGCCCAGCTCTGTAAGTACAGCCAAACCTCACCTTTAAAAGCATATGCTTCTCACTGGGTGTGAGATACATCTTGTTTTCATAGTAATCCACACAGATGTTGACAATATCAGCCAGCAATTCCTCATAGCCAGGGATAACCTCTAGTTGTTGGTGCAGACACTGAAACAGCAACAAGGGGACACTTTATCCACATGGACAGAGGAAGAGAGGGAATGTTTCCAGAATGTATGTGGAAGCATACTTGAAAGATTAAGAAGATAATGAGGCTTCCTAAAACCCCGTCTGCACTTTTCTTGAGTTACAGATAGAAGATTGACCTCACGGTACCACCTATAAAGAAACACCTTCTGTAGGAGAGCTCTCCTCTTCAGATTGATGACAGCAGCCAAGCATCAGACAGTGAGGTGAAAAAAAGAGTTTGCACAGGAGCATACCTTCTGACTCTTCTGTCTCTGTGCAATATTTTATCTAATTAGCAGAATCTATGGACCCTGTGGAGTGTGGAGGTCCCTTGTGTCTGATCTGCAGTCCCTACGCAGCTGCAGAGATAGACTGGATGGATTTCTGGAGAAAAATAGGGGCAAGGTTTATGGTAGAAAGCCTCCTGAGAGCTCTTCTTGCATCTTTTAGAGCTTTATCCTTGTCTTGACATAAAGAGACCTCCTAAGCTACCCAGGATAACCCAATGGAGAGAATTATTACTAGACTTATGCAGCCTGACCCAGACACCAACAATCATCAGAAATGACCCAACAAAAAAGACAGATATTGTTGCAGTCCAGCCTGAAGCACCTGAAGCATGGAAGGATCAACTGGTTCAGAGGAACGGGACTTGCCTGTGTGATGCGGTTGTGATTTGCCAGGAACATAGAAAGGTTCTGGGACTCCTGGATGGACTGGGGGTCTGCCATCTTCCGCAGAAACTGGGCAGCTCTGAATGAGAGAAATTCACCATCACCATGACCTGTTGCCCAGCGCCAGGCTTTCACCACCCATCCTCCTCACTTCACTTGCAGCTGCAGAGCAGCAACATCAGAGCTCGCCTTGAGCAGAGCTTTTCCCTTTCCTCATTTTACCAACAGGGAACTGAAACACACAGGAGCTCGGTCTTTTTCTCACAAAGAGACCACAACAGCACAGATAACCGCCCTCCAGCCTCCCTGTATCTGCCTGATCCCACTGTGGGAAATGTCCACTGCCAGACCAGGCACAGGCTCAGCCCTGCTCTTCCTGCTTCTTGCCCCTCACCTTTTGTAGGCTGAGTGGTCATTTTTGACACTGCACTTCATGTTCTTCAGCTCATCCAGGACAGCAAACATGTTGATGAACTTGCCCAAGGTGAGGAGGTAGGCCTCAGAGACAAAGTCCTTCCTCCGCTCCGCATGGCACAGGCGCTTCACCTCACTGCAGAACCGCTCGATAGCCTTGCGCTGGAAGGTGGTGGGACAGGGTCAGCACATGCAAACCACCACCCCTACAGCCACCATCCCCTTCCTTCTCCTGGTGGGATGGCAGCTCTGTTGTCACCATGAAATGATGCAGCATTACAGACCCCTATAATAAATGTCCTCCATGCTGGAGAGAGGAGGAAGGAGGAGCCTTCAATCCTCTGCCCAGCCTGCCCAGAGAGAAGCGTGATCTGTCAAATCATGCTTTGGCTCTTTAGGTGGAGCATTAAGATATCATGGGACATAAAACCCAAAGACAGTAGTGAAACCCAGCTGCAGCCAGATGTAAACACAAGCAATGACATGGGGAGCTCCCTTCAGCCCACAGCAGCTCTGTTTGCTTTGTGGTCACTGCTCTGCTGGGATCTGAGTGTGTTATTTTCTCAAGCATCTCAAACGTAGCAACTGTTAGCTTTGGTGTTTGACACCAAAGTTTTAGCTTTGGTGTTTGACACCAAAGTACAGGGCCAGGTACAGTGGCCAGAATGAATACACCAGCTGCACCCTCAGCTCTTTTTGGCTTTGCTTCAGATGGAGGAACAGCAGAGTGATCAGTGCTGTCCCTACTAAAGAACCCCAAACCAAAGACATTATTTTTGTCAACTTCTTTGACTGCTTACCTGAAAGTACATGAACTTCATAAGCTTGGTGACTTCTGGCTCCAGAACTTCTACTGTCTTCTCATAAATCTCCACTCGGTTTGGCTGTTCATTACATTTCACCTGCAAAGACAAATGATGATTGTCAGCATTAATACTTCTGACACAGCTGTGGTCTTGCAACAGCCACTATCTTCTGCTTGTTTCACATTGAGCACTGTCCCCATTTGAAGACAATGGAGTGACCAAAGAAGGAGATTTTTTTCAAGGCAAAAGGTGATGTCAGAAGGGGCTATTTCTCCAATATGAAATTTTCTCCATGTGTTATAAAAAGGCACAATCCTGAATCTGAGAAACAAAATTTTCTAATGCACTTCTTGGGAGAATATATAAAAATACAGAGTCTGGATTACTCACACGATGTGGGAATGTTTCATCATGGATTTATTGAAGATTTTGTGCTGCAAAGTCCTTTGTACACACAAGGCACCATGCCATGGCTCTGCCTAGTTCTGCTGGGATAATTTTTGTTCTGTTGAAGAACCATTAAAAATCCCTGGGCTTGGATGTGGCTAGCAGCAATGAAGTGAGTTCACCTATATCAGTCCTAGGCAGCCACATTTAAGGAAAGATGTATCCAGTTGTCACCCACCTCATTTCTAAATGATGACGTGGAGTCATCACCAAACTTTCAGGAAAATCCCTGGCTGCCCTACAAAATGCATTTCACTGCTTTTATTCTTTGTCAGGGAATGGATTCCAAGGGCCTTCCTAGGGTGTATTTTGTTTATAGTTGTTGCTGACACAAAGTTGTGATGGAGCTCACAGCTCTGGTACAAATTTAGCAGCCCAGCAGTTGATCTACAGTGTGTGAGGGGGACAAATCAGCAAGCTTTACATGTGGGCAGCTGCCAGAGTCACTACAAAACAGCCCTCAGCCTCTGTTCAGCAAAGGACTGGGGAGAGCAGCCATCCCACAGGTTTCATGCCCTGTCAGGTGGTATGAAAATCACAGGAGCAGTAGGGATGGGAGGACACTAAACTCCAAAACGGAAGATGATCCATAGTACTCAAACCCTGCCCAAGTTCACAACTCGTATCTTGTCTTGCCAACAACTCAGCCATGGCCTGCCTTCTGCTAGCATGACCAGCAAAGGCAAGAGCAGCACAGCAGCAAATATAAATAGGAGATAAACAAAAATCTAATCAGCATCAGCAGTCTCCCCATGGCTGGGTCTCATCAGACCATCAGCAGAATATAACCCGCGGGAACTGAGATTTGACCTTTCCTGGGGAATTGCTAACATAGGCAATGCCAGCCATGCAGAAATATTTTTTCCAAGCTCCATGGAAGCCCTGCAAACCCTTTTATCAGTAGGGTTAATGCAAGTGTGCTACATCTGCCTGCAGTGTTGTCAGCCTGCATTTCTGAAGTGATGAAGTGAGCTTTCACGTGACAGAAGACAAGCTTTGTGTTGGAATCTGAATCACACTCAGTGGGCCACGTGGGCAATCTTACTCATGCTTGTAGGTGTTTGAAGGATGGAACCAACAAAATTCAGGTTGGAGAAGGACTGAAAAACATTTGAAACAGAACTTGAAGTAGAAGGGGGAGAATGATTAAGCCTGGGACGTTCAGGTACATCAACAGCAAAATAGAACATTTGGTTGTGTCCTGACAAGGAAGCAGATATTCACTCCAGAAATGCTTCTGATATAGCAAAGAGCTCCTTCACGCACCCTCACACAACATCAATCCTTCTGGGGTTCCCCTTGGAATAGAAAGGGCCCCCACATCCAGGTACCAGTTGGTGACGTGGAAACCTGCCCCAGCTGCCCACTGCTTCATGCAAGGCAGGGACAGCCCAGGTCTGCCATGTCTCAAGAGCACCTGCTGCTCTCACGTTGTGCTGGCCATATTGCTTCTTTATGCAATCACAGAATCATTAAGGTTTGAAAAGACCACTATGATTGTCTAGTCCAACTGTCAATGCATCACCACCATGCACACTAAGCATGTGCCACATCTCCATGGTTCTTGGACACCTCCAGGGACAGTGACTCCACTACCTCCCTGCCTTTGCCTGACACTGAGTGTGTCCTTCATCCCTGCTGGCCCTGCAGGGGTAAAGTGACCTCAAGCATGACTTCTGAGAGAGCAGAGGAAAGGCTCCTGAAACTAGAAAATATATATATAGCTGAGAGGTACTGTTAAGAGATGTCAGGGATGGAGCTGCTGCATCTTCTATACAAGACGGTGCAGAGCAGAGTCCTTTGCTAGGGCAGCAGTAGGGTGTGCTTCTTCTGGAGTGGCTACTTGCTGCAGTGATTAGTGGTTGAGACTTTGACGGGGAAACGAAGGCAATTTGAAGAGTCTACGGTTTCTGTTTTCAACCATTCTACCCCCTTCAGTCTTTGCTTTTTTTTGGCCTCCACCCCAAACTGACCACATTGAAGATAAAACCACACGTACCTGGGGAATGGCTCTTGAGCAGCTCCTCCACGTGTACAGCATCACGGCATACTCATGGCCTTCTTCCAGCATTTCATTCTGAAACACAGAGAGGTGTTGCTGGGGCAAGGCACACGCTGTGGTGTGGCATTGCTGGGCAGTGCCTGGGAACTCACCATGCTGGAGTGCACTGTTGCCTGCTCGATGTACCTGGCGATTCCAGTCACAAAGGCATTTCTGTCTTCAAAGTTTGTGTCAAAATTAGCCTATGGGTGAAATGGAGATGAGGATTAAAATATGCACAAGCTAGATGTTTGCTCACCTGATGCCATGCACTGTCAAGTTGTTTTAGAAGTATAGGCAAGAAAACTCCCAGCAGGCACAGGAAGAAGCAGGAGGGCTCTTGGGACATACGGGTCAACCCATAATGAATTGGAGGTGCTGGAAATCACTGCATCTCTAGGGATAAACTATACACATATATAGACATATACACTTTGCAGTGTATCTGAATCCCACATGTTCATTAGAGGGAACCCTGCAGATGATGGATGTGAAGATGTGGCCATTGAGACTGACAAAGCCTTCTAAAATCAAGCCAATCCAGTGGTGATCAGTTACACACAACTGCAGCCACACCAGTGAGCAAACCTGTAGCAACTATACGAAAGACTTCAGTCTTCTAACTCAGAGAAAGTTGCAACCTCATTAATTTCCGTTTGTGCCCTGGATGCTAAGGGAAGACCACATCCTGTCAGCAGGAATTGCAAAGGATAAACATAGAAAGAGCAGGGAAAGAGATGTCTGGGAAACATAGACGTGAAAGTCAGCACGCAGCGCTTAGTGCTAGTGCTGCTCTCGCAAGCTGATGCTTTGGGAGAAACAGTTGTGAAACCTGAGCTACTGCTTTGCATGTAGACGTGGCAGTAAGAAAGTGCAAAGCAAGGCAGGAGGTGAAAGCACAGCTCCTCTGCCTCATTCACATGCTTTGGTCTTGGGCAATTTCCTCTGCGAAGGCACACTGATGCTATCTCCTGCAAGGCAGCGCACACATAGGTCCCAAGTGCACAGAGCGATGTCATCAGCAGTGCACTGACTGTGTTCACCTCAATAACTGACTTCCTGAGCAGCTGAGCTGGGAGCACAGAGCTGTGGCCTTAGAGCTGCTTTTCTTCATGCCTCTATGACCCTAATGTGATTAACGTAACAGCAAACCTGAGGCTGCAAGTGCATTTTTGAGTAGCAGGGAGAGTGCTAACCCCAAAGCAGGTATGATGAGGAACCAGGCTTGGCCAATTCTGTGAATACCTCCAGATCCAGTTTTGTCATGGTTTCAATGAGGTTTACATGCCCAGCGGAGGGCACACGCTTATGGCCATGAAGCACAAGTGAAGCTGTGCCATTGGTCAGGACTCTGAGCCTCCCATGAGCCACAGGCCAGCATAGACTAAAAATTAATTTGTGAAGATAGATGTTAAAATGTTACTAAGATTTTCCAGAGAGCTGAAACTTGAACAGCCCAGAAATGCCTTTGGGTCTGATAACCCCAAGGGATACCAATGCTATTGAACAAGCCTGCAGTCTGACCTGCTGAAAGAGATACTGTAACTCCAGCACCCTGCACACGCAGCACAGCAATCACCGTAAGGTTGCATTTATGCATGACCACAGTAAGGCTTGCAGACAGGAGTGGCAGGATGGAGAAAGTAACCCTGTGTTATATTTAATCCTGGGAGTGTGCTATAGGACAGGGTGTGGTGGGCAAGCAGTCGTGGCATCCCGCTGTGGGTCCAAAAGCAGTGCTTTGAGCCTTCTCTTGGGCCCATGCCAGACTTGGGCAGGACAGCTGCAGATGAATCCGTGGTCACTTGAGGCAGAGCAGTGGTTATCACAGAATTGTAGACTCATTTGATGTGGAAGGGACCCTTAAAGGCCACTTAGTCCAACTCCTCTGCAATGAACAGGGACACCCCACAGCTCCATCAGGTGCTCAGAGTCCCTACACCCTGACCGTGGGTATCTCCAGGGAGGGGGAACCCCCATCTCTCTGGTCAACTTGTGCCAGTGCCTCACCACCCTGCTGCCTGCCCTCCCTGCAGCTCCAGCTGCGCGCACAGCATGGGACAGACAAATTCAGGCTGAACTCTGATTCTGACCTACTTAGACACATGCACTTAGCATTTAAAGGAAGCACAGAAATACACACATAATAAAACACTGCTGAGAACCTCCTGTTGTTATCACGAATCTCAATCTCTGGCTTCTTATCCATTCGTACATTCTGGTCCTCATTTTTAACTTCCCTATGACTTGCCCAGTGTTAAAGAACCCTTTTCCCAATCTCTGACAGCAGAGCTGCGGCTCGATCTGTTCTGAACATTTCCTCTAACACTCTGACTGGAAGCACTTTCTCCTCCTTCTCCCAGCACCACGTGCCCCTGTGCTGTGCAGAACAGCCTCTGTGCCCTGTGGGTCTGGAAGCTGTGGGTACCTGGTACATAATGGAGGAAGGAGGTGGCTCAATGCATGGCTGCTGGTCAGGCAGCGGCAGCTCCTCCAGCAGGTCCACATTGGACAGGGCATCCTCCAGCGTGACGTGGGTCGTCATGGTGCCAGCTGTTCAGTTTCCACACTAGATCCAAAGGAAAAAAGAGAGTGACAAACAGCAGCCAGAAAACTGAGTGGGAGAGCACCAAAGGACTGAACTGGAACCAGGCCTGCCTTGCAATACAGGGGACACGATCCTAGTTTATCTTGTTTTCCTTTTCTTGTGTATTTAACCTATATCTCTGTGTCATCTCCCTTTCCACAATTCAATAACAGAGCAGGAATGCAGAATCAGAGGAACACAGCCGCCCACCCAACTCCTTCTGTGCTCAGCTCTGTGCAGAACAGCTGGGTGCTGCGGTGCAGCCTGAGCAGCCTGAAGTGAAAGCGTGAGATGCAAAGCGGTGCTTTCAAAAATATCTCTTGAAGCAGTGCAATGAGAAAAGCATGAGCAGTGCTGACACTCACATGGTGCCCTCCCTACATGAGGAGGCACTGGAAACTGTAAACAACAAAGCAATTTTTGCAGATGAACTGGAAAGGATCAGGTTCTGGACGGCTTAGGCAGTGAAAAAAAAAGAGGTGGTTAAAAAAAGTATTTATTTGCTTTTACAGTGCAGTGCGTCCCCTGGTCAGGCCCTGCTTGCCCTGGAGCTGCCACCAGCTGTGTTGTGAGATGGTGCCAGCTGCATACAATACAAAAAACAAAGGGAAATGTTTCTGAAAGAGCTCACTGCTGCTTACCTCTGTGCTCAGCCAAGCCAGCAGGAAACACAGGCCAAAAAAGAGTCCCTGATCTCTTTTGCTCTTCACCTTTGCAGTGAATGCCTCACCATGGACAGACCCTGCTGTCCTCCAGGCTGAGCACTTGTATAACCACAACCACAGGGCTCCCCTAGTTAATGCCTAATCCCTGTGCAATGGCTGTGCTGACCTGGAGTATGTCTCCTAGAAAACACTCAGTTGCACTTAAACATTTGAAAGGAGAGAAATGGCTTTAAATGTTGACATGTCGCTGGATTAGCAGATCATTCCCCTTTCAAAAACTGTGTGTTTTTTTTTTTCCAGTTGGACCCAATTAGTTTCAAATGTGAACTGAATTTATCACTTTAATCTGCAAGACAGTAGAGCTCTGTTAGCAAAGTTTTCATGAGGATACTCCCGGGTTTCAATAGGAACACCCTGCAACCTTTGAATTAGCTCAGGCAAGTGGGCTGAGCTCTTCAATGCCTTGTTACAGAGCACATCTCCCAGTCCTTTAATCATCTCTTTGGCTTTTCTCTAAGCTTGATCCCATTTTCCAATTTTGCAGCTTTTTTGGTGAGGTGCAGACAGCATAGCAGGACACGGTGCTCCAGCACTGTCTGCACAAACACCAGTCACAAAAGCAGCACAGTGTACCTTCTCATGCACCGCCACATCAGCTCCTTTGGTCACAGCAGCAGTCCTACAGGCGCTCCCGCTCAGCTGATTATCTGCCTCAATTCCCTTAGGTCCATTTTTTTTGCTGTTTGTTTTTTTAATTGAGTCACTGCTTCCCAGACTATAAGTTTGTTTTTCATTTCCAGCACTGGGAACACGGAAGGACAATGGCTTTGGGTTGTGCATAGATACGCACACATACACACTCAGTAAGGAACGCGGCCCAAAGGGATGGATGCATGCAGACCTGAGTGGCTTCATGCTGGGTGAGGGCAGGGATAAGCTGTGCCTCTCATTGTTGCCGCCTGCAGCAGGAGCTCTGAGAGCACAGAGGGGTCTGGAAAAACCCGTGTCATCTCCACAAATGCCTCCCCAAGGCAGTGGGAAGTTTTTCGGGTTGTAGCAGGAGATCTGGTTCCCAACTCAGCATCTCAGACCCAAAGTGCAGAGTACTGCACAAACCTGCAGGAAGACAACGGCCCTGCACTCAAACGCAGGAAGGGAGGAGGCAGCAGTGTGGAAATAATGAACAGAAAAGGAAGCACCGAGCAAAGCAAGCAAACAGCCATGAGCACAGCCTGCCCCGTGCTTAGCTGTGCAAGAAAGAGGATCCAGGTGACAAAACTGCACAAATGTTCTAACAGACGAATCTTCACTGTAACATCCCCGTGAACCCAATTTCAATTGTATGCTTTCTTCAGCAGAACGGCAAAGCCAAAGCAGATGAAGAGGCACGGTGTGGGTTGTGAGCGGTGCCTGCGGTGTATCGGCTTCTGTGCCAGCACACATCGCTGCTCGGGGTGGAGCACAGCGTGCCCCACATGGGGCTTTTTTGCTGCCCCATGCACGTGTGCAGAGGGGTGAGGCTTTCCTCCTCGCACAGGAAACATATCCTGCCTGCGTGAAGCAAAGCACCGCCACCCAGGCTGCTAGAAGCTGCCTCTCTAAAGTATTTTGTTCTGTATATCCAGCCGCTGGAGCTCCGCCAGCCCATGCATTTTTGGTGGAACTGCGCCCTGCAGGAGCCAGCCCCATCCTAGAGAAAACCTGGGGCCATGAGGCTGATACTACTAATGCTAATGAGCACTCTGCTGCCCACACTCTGCCTGTCCTCTGCAGAAACTTCCTCCTCCCATTGCCACGGTGATGTTCAGTGCTCCCCAACCCATGTGCCAAAGGACTGCAGCCCCAGGTCCCCCATCCCAAAGCTGAAATGAAGGTAAATCTGTTAGGAGAACAGAGGGCTGGATTTAACAGTCTGGAGGAAGGCTTTGGGAAGGAGAGACCAGGGACATCCCAGATGGCTGAGTTTGTCATTGCAGCCCAGTCCTACCTTTCCTATCTGTGCAATATCATCATCTTCACAGCAAGAGGAACAAAGGAGACTTCACTGTTAAGGCAGCTTGGTGGAACAAAGGAAGACTTTTGAAAGTGGGGCCATAATGAGTATGTTGCATTCATGTGCGCTTGGCTTCACAGCTGCACAGCTGAGAGCTGTGGGGAAGTGGAAGGGCTGCTTTGGGTGCTCAGCACTCCTGCTCCCACAGCAGACATCCACACTGGAGCTGCAGGAGCTGCCAAGCACAGGAGAGGCAGCAACAATTGCTCTGTAGACTGCCAGTCATTTGAGATCCAAGCCCTGCAAGCCTGGGGTGAGTTGCTGCAAAATGACTTTTGCTGGAGAGGTGGTGACATGGAGGAAAAGGAGGAAAACACCTCCCAGAGGATTTGGTGCTCTGCTTCTGCTTTGTAACCTGGGAAAGCCACATTAACTTATTGGGCCTTGTGATGTAAGTTTCACCTTTTACTCCAAAAAATCATTTAATTCGTGGTCAGAAACCACCCTGGCCCAGCAAACACCCCAGCAGGCAGACATCCTGGATACATAGCACCACATTTCTGGTGCCCTTGGCTTCACTGCAAGAGAAGGGTGTATACATGCTGCTGGACAGCAATGGATTTTGGTAAAGCAGAGTGATTCCAGGGTGCAAAAGGATTGTTATACTGTTGCCCCAGAAGAACAGGATTAACATCCCCTATGTTGTAGGATGCATATCATCAGCAGTCTCCTCACATACTGTAAGATTTACTTGGAATTGCAACCACCACAGCCAGGAGGTTCTTTGCACGAGCAAATCAACACAGCCAGGATGAGCAGAGCTGGGCTGCTGCCCTCCACAGCCACAGCCATTAATAACCCTGAAATTACCCATCCTGACAAAAAAAGGAAGCCAAACTGCACCCACTCCTGAAGCTGTCTGCATTTGCATTCTAAATTTGCTGCCATCCCACTAAGGCTGAGCTCCAGATATCTGCGCATCTCTGAGCAACATCGTTATTTTGGAATTTATTTCGTATAGAATAATTTCATTTATCTCTGGCCAAGGAAAAAGGCTGCTATAGGAAGCTGCATTTCCAATATAGCAGAGAAATGTAAAGCAAGTTTGTGAGCAAGATCCTTTGCTGACATTCAAAGCACTTATTGGGAGATAATATCATACAGAACAGTGTTGTTAGTAGTTGAATAATTAGAAATGTTCCAAAAGTGATCTTCCTCTTTACGTGCAAAGACAATAATTGTTTGTTAATAAAATTACTGTGATATCACGATATTGAGCTTTGCTTGAGACCCGAGTAAGAAAATGGAAGGCTTTTCCATATTCCTCAGGCTTCACTAATAGCAATTAGCTGTACAGAGAAAAGGAGAAAGGAATTATCCTTTGTAGGGAACTGCCCTAGAATAACACGCAGTGACAGACACCAACACAGCAGGCAGTCTCTGCTGGCAGTGACCAACCCCTGGCAACAACTGCCACTGTGCAAAGCAAGGCTGTGGGGCAGGAGAGGTGCAGGGCAGGAGGGTTGCTGGGGTGCAGGCCATCTTAATTGCAGGAAATGGCTGTGATCTGAGGCCAAGGCCAGAACCCCCGCGGAAAGTGGCAGATGGCAAAGAGGCCAAGCTCTGCTGCTGGCAGCGTCCCTAACGGCACACAAACCGGCCCCTTCCCCAAATCAGACAACGGCAGGGTTCCTGCACGTGTCCCTTTTCCTCCCCAGTCCCCCCCCCAAGCTCTGCAACCCACGGAGATTTCCTGCCGCGTTCCCTGCTCAGCTAGGATGCAGGTGGCACTGGCACAGTGTTTCCAACAGCATCCTCCGCCGCGAAGTTCAATAGAAAGAGATGCATCTCGCTCGCAGGCGGCCCCGCGCACGAGAAGGGCCGCTTTGCTCATCATTTTGCCATCACCCCACACCCGGCGCTGACCCTCAGCCCGCACCCCGCGGCCGCCTGCCCACCCCCCCAACCACCATCCCTCCGGCCCCATTGCTCCCGCGGAGCATCGCCGCCCCCCGGCTGCCATTGCCGCTCGCAGCGGGGCCTGCAGCGCCCGCCGGGCCCGGGGCTCGGCTTTATGCCCCTCCCTCGGTGCGAGATGGGGATAGAAGGCGATCTGTGCTATTTTCCTATTTTTTTGCTATTTTCCTATTTTTTGCTATTTTGCGATTCTCCCCTCCCTCCCATCCTCTCCTCCTCTTCCAGCTCCTCGCAATAAACGCTGCAGGTAGCCCTGAGCATTATGGGATACATTCTGCACATCCCGGCCCCGCCGGGCCGCCCGCCCTGCCTCTACCCGGAGAGGCAGCACCTGCCCGGCGGGGGCACCCCTACCCCGCTGTGCCCCCCCGGAGGATTACCGGGGAGCGCAGCCCCGGGCCGCGAAGGGCTGAGGCCGCGCAGCCCCCGCGCAGCAGCGCCCAGCCCCGCGCCGCTCACCTGGCGCTGGGTTCGGGGCTCGGGGCGGCGATGCTCGGATGCTCCGCGCCGCCCGCACAAAGAGCAGGAAATGGCTGCAGCAAGTGCACTTCCGCGGCTCTCCGCCGGCCTCTCCGCGCGGCGGCGGCGGTGCTGGTGGTGGCGGCGGCGGGGGGAGAGCCCCGGCCCCCGCCGCGGGAAGGGCTGGAGCCGTGCGCTCCTCCTCCGGGGGATGCGTGGGGCCGCATCCCCGCCCCTCTGCCGGGGATGGCCCAGAGCGGGGCGCAGGAAGGCTACCGCATCCCCCCCGGGAGCCCCGGAGCTGGGGGAGTGCGGTGGGGGCCCCAGACGGGCAGAGCCCGGCCGGGATTCGTCGTTGGCGCTGCTGCGGGGCTTCGGGTTGCAGCCTCTCCGCTCCTCCTGGAGTTGTACCGCCGTTACGTTTTACCTACCGTTTTCTTGACAGCCTGCTGTGTAGCGTGCTTGTGAAACCTGAGCTGGAAGGGACCTAAAGCAGGAGGCAATCAGTGCCTTGGCTTGCAGCTCCGAGCCTTGTCTGAGTCAGCTTTGCATCCAAAAGATCTTCCTTTCGGCGTTTTGGGCATATGGCATTTCTTCACTGACAAGTTTCCTGTCCTTCTGCTCATGCTACTTTCTAAAGCTCTTCGGATCCAGCGTGAAATCCAAACTAGATCTCTTACAGCCTCCAGAGCAGCAGCTCCCCGTGGTCATTGATGCAAGCCCTTCGCGGGGCTTTGGTAATTTCAGGCAGTGCTCCCAGCTCCTGCTGCTGCCTCTAGAAAGACACTGATGGGTACCCAAGGACCACTGACGGTCTTAAAATATAAATATATAATGTCTAAATAAATTTCCTTAGCTCCCTTGGCAGTGTGCCTTTCCTGAGCACCATTCTCTGCTCACAGTGGGCTGCCACTTGCCCCTTGGATCACAGCCCTCCTGGGGCTGAGTTTGCTCTGGACTCAGGCTCTCCATGTTGGCTGACTCTGCAGAGGAGTTTGGACACCAGGTCTACCCTATAGCTCTGCTGCTGTCAGCTGAATGGATACAGTGGGCTGAGGGTATTGGGGTCCACAAGCTGCAGAAGGAGAAAGACAGTCTGAGGAACAGTCTTTGTGTTAATAGACAGACCCACACCTAGAAAATTCTGTTAATAGCATCTCTGGGAGCAAACCCTTCTCCTTCCCCTGTGTTGCACTTCTCTCTCACTTGTAACTCAAATATTTCGTAGCCATCATTCCCCTTTCTACTATTTATTGTTGTCAGAAAAATTCAGTAAGTGAGCATTATTATTGCAGGTCCAAGAGATCTAACATCTAACGTTGCTCCGAGACTGTGGGAGAAACAAAGTCAGTCCAACAAAACCATGGCAGTAAAAATTGTTGTTGTTTCTTTTTTTAATATTGTTTAACCTTGCTTCCATTATCAGCCAGGTTCAGGCTGATGGGAATTCCACGAGTGTTGTGATACTATATTAATTTTCTACTCCGTGCTTTCTTAGATCATTGAATAATGAATGAGCTTCCTTGCATTCGTCTTGTAGGTCACTGCTGGATGGAAGCACTGGCAGTGAGGGGCAGGCCCCTCAGCACTGCAGGTATCTACATGGTGTATAGATTTACCACGTGCATTTGTCACATTATGGCACTGTCCTTTTCAGATTCTTGAAGTCTCTCATAAATACTAGTGGGGAAATACCCTTGGGAGAACTTGGATATTATTAACCCTGTTTTAGAAGGACCCGAAGAAGTTAAAGCCATAACACCTGACATTTAGACTTGGAAATCTGTGCGTCCATATGGTAAACTACCCAATTTGCTGAGATTATGGATACTTCCTAACCCTATGAACCCAGCATGTCAAGTAAACCCAGAACACAGCCAGAGCTCTGGGGAATGGAGATATTTCAGAAAGCCAGCTTGTATCTTGGTGGGAAGGATGAGAAAGGGCAGGCTGCTCAATTATAAAAGCACACGAGTGGTTTTTGCACTGATGCTAATGTATAGTGAAAACCACAGATGGGACAAAGTAATTCTATTGTCTGTAAAAATACATATTGTGTACATAGAAATACAGCTAATGAAGACCAAACATATGACAATGATATTTTGTGCAGTGCACCCGAGCTAATAAATATTACATGTATCTCATCAAACATAAATATAATCTCAGAAATATTTCCTAAAAGAGCAATAGTGCTGCTACCCAATAGCGGCTTCTTCAGTCTCATCAGATCCCTGGTTGCTCCCAAAGAGCCAGAAGCTTGGCTTTGTGAGCACGCAGATAGCCCTGCCCCAGGCTGAGTGCCTCTGCTCAGGGAAAAGCCATTCCAGGGTGCCCTGCAGTGGTTCGGATTGTGTGAGTGGAGCAGGGGAGAAATGGGGTTACAGCCAGCTGGCCTCGCACTTAGCTGTCAGCGTGCCGTTCAACACGTGTTGGGCTGCTGGAAACTTCACTGCCCAAATGCCAAATTTAGCACCGTGGGGACATGACAACAGGCTAACTTGGACTGAAAGGATGAGAGAGAGAAACTTAGCTTAACTTCAACATAGGCAAAAATTCAAAGATGTTTTATAGATGCTCATTTTCCACATATTGGTTCAGACTGCTAAGAGATTTCTGTGGAAGTCCTGGCTTGAAGGTGGCACTCTGACCTCATGCTTTGGATTGACATCCTCTGGTCCATATGTTCGGATTCACCTTGCTTGGGAGAGTCACTCTGGATGGTATTAGTAGGAGCAAAACACAGTAAATAATGTGGAAATAAAGCAAAGTTGGAAGATCTATATGGCAGGAACTATGTCTTGCCTGTATCTATAAGCCTGAAAGGATTCTGACTCCTAAAGTGACTCTAGAACCATGGATCTGAAAAACACCACAAATTCAACCTCCTCCTATGAAGAAATAGTTTGACACAGGATATGTGAGATCATGGGATTACAGTATTTCCTTGTTCCATTTTTGTTGGCAAACGTCTTTGAACTTGACTTCTGTAACAACAGAAGGAATTGCTGCTAGAGGTTTCAACCTCAAAGTTTCTGTAAACTGCTGTCACATAACGTTTACCCATGTCCTAGCTTGCCCAAACACAGAAACATCAAAAACACATCTCACATATATGCACATATCATCTGTGAGTCCCTTTAGTTCTTTAGTTCTTGTTAATGCTTAGCAGAAAGTCCTGATCCCATATACAAAAGCTGCAGGACACAAACACCCACATTTCTGGTTCGGAGGTCAGTTATGTCAAATTAGTGTCTGTCCTGCAGTGGAGATGTGGATGTTAACTGAAGTACCAACAGATGGATATTGCTCATACCTTCTTCTGCTCCCACCACATGGATCTCCTGGAGCATCAAGGCAGTCTGTTTGCATAAGACTTTCTTTCTTTGATCACTCCCTATAAGACTCACCAGTTTGTTTGCAGAAGAGATAGAAGAGTCTTTTCTTATGATGATTCAGTTACACTTTGAAGTAGAATTTCTCATTAGCACTAGTGCACTGATCACACACTCTGCATGTTTCCTCCTCATGGCACACTCTTTTGGGAATAGGTGTTTCTGCTTCTCCTTGACACGGGATCCTGTCTGCTCCTGGACTGGAGGCACACAACGCTCTGCCCTGCCATGTCCTCCATGCTCAGATAGAGGAAGTTGGTGGACGTTATTTATTTGTCTTTTGATTTAGAAAGATTGAAGAAAAAAATCAACAGAAACTTTCAGATTTGAGTTTTTTCCTCCCAGAACATCTAGATGTGCATCAGAGTCCCATTTTCCCACTCACTGTAGAAATTGGAGAGAATATCAAGACTCCTTATAACCCATTGCTTTCCTCTTCTGCACTTACAAACTGCAGATACCTCTTCATCTTTTAGGGTATCAGAATCCTGTTTCCGTTAAGCCACAGTTTCAGAGGAAGTCATATAAAGGAGAACAAAACCACCTTAAAATGTCAGCATCAGAAATGCAGTTACTAAATCCAGGCTGTTCCTTTGTACCCCAGGCTTATTCCTGTTCAGAGCTTTCAGGTCCAGCCCACTCTGAATTAGAGAGCCATGGAAGTCTAAGTGTTCCTCCTTAGTCAAAGATAGGGTTTTTTTCCCAGGGGAGACATTCATTTGGGAATTTGCAGAACTGGAACATCAATGCCAGATCTCCTCGTTTTGAGGCTGCATCTTCATGAGAATTATACTTGCTGTGTTACATGTTGCAGGAATTTCTGCTCATTTGCTGGTTCTGCTTGTAAGACGCAAACAACATTCTTGGCCAAGCCAAACCTCATGTCTGCCTGTGCTCTGGAAGACCTGGGAATATCTCGTCTGTCTGGAAGTACGGGCCTCTGCCCTCTGCTTCTCCTCAGGCATACAGTAAGTTTCTGTGGTGGAAGGATTCACATTAATGCTTTGTGTGGGGAGAATCCAGCCGTCTGCCCTATCAGGACTTTCTTAGCTTCATGTAGCATCCGGTGCCATGATTACAGATCAAACTCAGAGATTTCACTAAGCTGATAAAGCAGAAGAGAAAAGGACGGGCGGTCTTCTTTCCTCTGAGTGAAATGGAGAGAGAGAGAATATTAACATCAGTTATGGTGAGTTTAGTAAGGAGAACCTTGTGAAAAAAGCGAGTTTTAACAAAAACAAAATCCATTCTTATAGAGAAAATGCCAACAGAAGAATGATGCTCCTTCTGCACCGTGATTCTTCTCTACTAACAGAGAATTTTCCCCAGAGGACACTAAGTACTTTGTAATGGGCAGGCTGTCATTTTTACCATCCACGTTAAAGCTGAGCACCACTGATTCGTAGCTTTCTTAGGAAGCAAAACGCTGAATTAACTTGAATTAGGTGCACTGCATAGACTGTTCAGTGATGTCAATGCATTCTGTAGAAACAGCAGCTTAAATAAAAGGCAAAGACCATAAGGTTTAATTCGTCTTGCTAACACAGATAATAGCTACAAAGTGCCTCATCTCCAGCACTGTATCTTGTATTAGCATGCGAGGTGTAAACTCTCTCCTAAACACCAAAGAAGAGAGAGCTCTTTTTGGGAAGCAGTGCTTTCCCAGTGAAATACTAACCATGCTCCAGCAGTGGCTCATCACCTCATAAATAGACTTGGAGGCCAACTTGGGCTTGTAGAGCCGAAACCCTGCATTGATTTCTTCCACCACTTCTCCATTGGTGCGATTCTCATAGGGCATTTTGCCTTCGCTGAAGACCTCCCACATCAGCACTCCTAAAGCAAACAAATGGGAACAATTACAAAAACACAAATAACATTCTCAGCAGGCCCACACCCCCCTTCCACCCGCTCATCTGTGCAGCTCAGTGTTGGTGTCTGTTACTTGAAAAAGCATTTTTGCTTAGATTTGAAGCACACCTCAGAAAAATCAGGGCCTAACACAGCTGTACAGTGCAATCATGGTGGAATTCAAAGGACTGCAGCACATATTTTCTCTTTTCCTAAACACTCATATAACTTCCTATGATTACTGTTCAGAGCAGTGCAGAAACTTATGCTTATCCAGTGCAGTAGATGATATGCAAAGACAAAACCACTGTGGACACTGGCCAGAGTTGGCCATCATATCAGAAAAGGTCTGCAGATAAAGTGAATACAAGTTCTGGTTTTATTACTAGGTTTGCTTTCTTTGGTCATCCGGTGTTAAACTGTGTTCACAATGTAAAGAAAGGAGAGACAGACTGATCTGACATGGAGTTGCATAACACTGCAGTCAGCTTTGCTAAAGAATTCTTGCTTTCTAGCTTCTAATTCTTCAAAGAGGGAGGTGCAGTGAGATTGCAGTCCCTTGCCATTGATATTGGCTCTGATGAACACCCAGCAGTTGTACTGCCCCACAGTGCACAGATTCCCAGCACTAGGAATTTCTTCCACCCATGTTGTTCTCTTGGGTACAGCAGGACTTCAGGCCTGGCAGAAGGGATGAATGCATGGCAGAAAGCGGAGCAGAATGCTTCTCACAGTCATGAGACCATGACACGACAGAGGAATCCTCTTATGCAAACCCCACTGGAGGGGCAGATAATGAGTCTGACAGATGTACTGCATTGGTGCCTGCAGATTTCATGGAGGGCTGACTGATGCACACACAGCTCAGAGCTATTTCACTCAGCCCTGACACTGTTGTGAGCCAACTCCACTCAGCTTGGCTGGGCTATAAAACGGAGTATACTTTTTGGAGGCATTTAGCTCTTACAGAGGCCCTAAATGTGAAATGCCACTCAGGCAGTTCCTGATTTGTGAAGCAGATGAGCAGTCTTAGTGAGGTATCATCTTGTCCCATGTCACTGCCACTTTGCTGCGAGGTGTCAGAGCTGGATGTGCTGGCAGTGTTGCCCCTTGTTGTTATGAGGGAAGTGCTGACAGCCTCCTCCATGTGCCGGGGACACGAAGAGGACACAGAAGAGGGATAGTGCTTTGGAAGCATCTCTGGGTTGGATTCTCAAAGGAGCTCCCACCACGCTGCTCATAACCCACCCCAGGGATGCATCACTTCACCCAGCATCAACCACACAGCTTCTAGGAAGGGCAGAGGGGAGCACAGAGCTCACAAGTACAGACTAGCCAAGGGTGTAATCCTACATTATTTACTGAGAGGCACAGAGCTGAGTGGCACCCCATTGACTGTGTGCTGTGCTCCGCACACTGTACTGATTCATTCTGCACTGCCACTATTTGTGTTAGCTGGAGGTGGGCCAGGCACATCAGTTGGCCAGATCAACAGGCCAGGGAATAGCCTTTGTTATCTGCAGTGCCAGTGGCTGTGGGGAAAAAAACATACAGCAGCTTTCTTATCTATGAGGATCCAGAAAGGAGATTGAAGAACAGATGCAAATCATAAAACAATGCATTGGGGAGTGGGAAATTAGATGAGAAAAGGTCAGCACTGAAATAATATTTTCAAATCAACAAAAAGCAAACAGAGTCAGCAAAAACAAACTCTGAGAGGCAGAGGTTTAGAATGAAGCTTCAGTGCTTTGGACTGGTGATCAGAGAGATGAAATGCCTAAATGTCTGTATTTCCTTTTCCTTAGAAACCTTCTGACTCTTCTACATTTTCTTGGTTACTCATTCAGTTGCATCATAAGATATTGTTCCTTGGTACTGTATCACACTGTACAGGTACAATACATTATATTGGCAGTATCTGGAGTGCTTCAGAGTGTGTAGGTAGTTTACTGTTTCTTTCATCCCTTCACCTAGACTATTTCGGCTTGATTTTCCAAGCTGCTATTCAGGCAACACACCATTGGAACCCTGAAGATGTAGTGTTTAGAATATTTTACTTTAGCACTGAGTCCCTAGGTCTTTCTGAGCTGGTATTTCTTCTCTTATTATTATTATTTTGTTTCATTCTGATGAAGGTTTCTTACCAAATGACCAAACATCTGATTTGGTGCTGTAGTTACTGTAGGAGAAAACCTCTGGGGCAGACCATTTAACTGGAAACTTGGTCCCCGTGGAGCTGGTATACTGATCATCAAGAACAATCCTGGAAAAGGAAAAGAAGGGAGCATTCTGAGCAACCTCAGTACCTCACCACAGCCTCATGTCTGCATCCCCTATGGCATTACCTTGACATCCCGAAGTCAGACACTTTGACCACATGAGATTCCCCCACCAGGCAGTTCCTAGCAGCCTACAAAAACAGAAAAGGTAGAAGGTCAGTCCTGAAAGACTATCACTGCCACTTTATTGCTTTTATCCTGTTTTACACAGTGCTTCAAAATAGGAGAATCAGAGTGATATCCTACTGTACAAAGAAAGCAAGAACTTTCAGTCCTAATGTTTTCTGTGCATTTTACAGCCAGTGTGCTTCTCTTGCCAGCAAAGCCTTCAGCCATCAGTCTGATGCATGCCTTTGCTGCCCAGAAAGAGCAGAGAAAGACTGAAATATCCACAGCTGCCTACAGTCCTGTAGTAATATGGCAGCAGTGCACAAGGCAGCTTACTGACCACTGCAATTAAAACCATTTTATCAGCAATGCATGTTGTTTATGCCTATATAAGAACAGGTCTTTTTGGTGTCTTTGCTGTTTTGGACATGAAAAGTGGTGAGATTCTGTGAGCTGTGGGAAGTAAAATAGTCCACTGAGACAAAGAGATGAAATTTATGTTCTTGCTTCTTCTCTCCCAAACACAACAAAGGGAAACGGATTTATCAGTGTTCCAGAGGATGCTTTTTCTTTCTAAAGCTTTAGTGCTGCTTCTGCAAAAAGAGGAGATATTGTTCCTCTGCCAGTGGGTAGGCAGGAGGAGTGTGAAAGCTGAAATTAATGAAGAGAGAAAGTCCAGTTGGAGTGGGGAAATCTGTATGGAGGCAACATACCAGGTCTCTGTGGATGACAGAATTTTGTTCCAGATAAGCCATTCCTTCGCACACATCTAGGCACATTCCCAGGAGGGTTTCCTTTGAAAAGCTGCCCCGCTGGCTCCTGAGGTAGTCAGACAAGCAGCCATGCTCCATGAACTCGAACACCAGGCATATGGGAGTGTTCTCAAAGCACACTCCATAAAGCTGAACTAGTTTGGGGTGAGACAGCTTCCTGTGGGACAAGAAGAGGAGGTGGAGAAAGAGGTTGAAGTCTGCTCAGTCCTTTCTGCCCTTACAGAAATTATGCTTACAGAAAATGACCAGTTTTTTCACCCTGTTTCACCTGTTGCATTCTTCTCTCTGCAAAGACCAACTATGAACACAGAAAAGAGAAAATATGCAGATGAGGCCTAACTTCAAGGTGCTCAGCATTGAGTATATCTCATTTCAATGGTAATCAAAAGACATTCCTGCATTCCAAATCATCCAATCAAACAACAAAAAAATTGTTTCTTCTTACTTTGAAGAGAGATGTAAAAAATGCAAACAAAGGCAATGATATCAGATACAAGTATTGTCAGCTGTGCAAATAAAAACAAACAAAAAAGCAGGCAAGCTTTTAAAATAAAACTTCCCTCAAATTTTGAGATGTCTTAATCTAATTATTTCTGACACTTGTCTCTCCAAAATGCTCTAGAGATTCTAGAGAAGAAGAAATCTAGAAAACAGTTCTGGATATTGATAGACTTACAAGCACAGGAATTCACCTACACTTTGAACTGTGTTCCCTTGTAACCCCCAGAGCTCACAGGTCTCTCTATACTGTTTAGCTAGATAGCAAATAATGCAAAATTCATATTCCTGAACATTATCACAACACTTTGTCTCAGTCTACTGAGTACAGGGTCTGATTTTTGTGTGAATCTACTGCTTACATCAAGACCTTAGCCTCCTCGATGAAATCCTCTTCAGACATCGCTCCTTCACGAATGGTCTTTATGGCAACTTTTGTCTTCTCCAGCCAGTAGCCAAGGTAAACCACCCCAAACTGACCACTGCCTATTTCCTGCACACGGGTGAGCTCAGAGGGATTAATGACCAATTTTCCTGTTGATTGTAAGAGAAAGAGTAAGAATCTATCAGAAAAACGTCAAAGAAAAAGCTTTTGTGGGTTAAATATTAAGACAGGACACTAAGTAAGAGTTTCTGACTCTGACTTAAATCATCTGTGTGACTTTTGGTGGCTCATTTACTACTCCATGCTGCAGTTCATGCACCAGAATAACAATAACAGCATTCCCATTTTTTCCTCTATTTCTTTTGTCTATCCAGATCTTCAGGGAGGATTGTTTCTAACACATGTACATATTACTATGCACAACATGTTTCCCAGTTCTCTTGATGCTTCTGAGAATTACAACAGTGTTTGGAATGGTGCAATGTAAAGATCTGAAGAAAACTATTATACTGATGGTCACATGAGAATTCTTCATTCTCCATGGATATATTCACGTTCACCCAGATAACCAAGGAGGTGTGTGATTCCCACATGGTGAAGAGAGTAACTCCATACCATAGCTCAGCCCTGCAGTGATTGGGGCCTTTTTCTTCCAAGAAGACACTGCATACCGCAAACGAGTAACAAGACCTGAATAACAGAAGGAAAGATGGGTTCCAGTTATTGTCACCGTTATGGGAAGTGTGGCTGTTCTTCCCAGAAGTGAGTCAGGATACTTGCAGCACATTTATTGTACTGAGTTCTCAGCTCCACTTGAGGGCAGCTGAATCTCTGTTCAGTGTGATTTCCTGCCTGCCAAGGAAGCCAATTCTGATCAGTTTCAGCTTATTTTTCATTCTTGCTCTGTCAGCAAGTGTGAGTCTATATTAACTGATGAAATTCCAAATTATGCATTTATATTTTTGAAGCCCACGGTTTCTCTTGGTAGTCCGAGCTGTAGTCTTTGATGACTCCCATGTTTGGCTGTGGATGTTGGCCGTGCCCCTGACTTTGTGTCGAATCAAGGCCCAGGAAGATGCCACCTCCAGGGCAAGAAGACACTGCAGTTTATCTCAAGCAAGTAGCTCGTCTAGCAGTTGCTGACACACTCCCATGGACTCCTGAGAATGAAAGGGCTCTCTATTGTTTGTCTGTATGACATCTGCATTAGTCATACTCAGAATGATCACCAGAATGAAGAAATTGGAAGCTTAGCCAAGATGGTCATTTTACAGACATTCTAGTGCCAGGGTAACATTTCAGTGTAAGGATGGAGGGATTGAGAGCCTTCCTTCCTTGAGAACATTCACCTGGCGACATGGTGAAACATCAACTTGTCTAGCTGGTGTCAGCATTCACTTACCTCCTGCATTGTGCTGGTGGTAGTTGATGAGTTCAGGGATGCAGTCAAAGATGTGTTTTTCTGCCAAATAGTATCTCTTGGGAAAGTCAGTTGTCTCATTGATGTGGTAATGTTTTATAACAGGGTTGTTATCCGTACTGAAAAAGATGAAGTTTTCTTTGAGAAAAACAGCAAAAAGATAGGAATTTGGGGTATAGGTGGAAGAGAAGAGAGCAAAGAAATGGGACAGCCTTCCTTACAGTGAATGGGTGAGGAGAGAGGAGCGAGCTGCAATTGCTAGTGAAAACTGTACTTCTGTGTTTTCCCTCTCACTGGTAGATAGTCTCAACTCTAGAAAGGCTGAGGTTTCTCAAGAACAGGTTGAGTACTATGTTACTCTGCCTCTTTATGAAACAAAACTTTCTGCCCCATGACAGAAACCCTTTCACTGGTCCTGTGTTATCCACTTTGGTTGAGTGCAGCACATAGGCTGTGTTGATCCTACGGGCACTTCAGCTGGGGAGGAAATTTCAACAAAATTACAAGCCTGGTGATGTCTTAGGGACTATATATAGGCACTTATTTAGATGCAGGGTGAAGTGGAGCCTTTAATATGCTTTGCTTTGCGAATGGCAGCTAACTCTTCTGCCTTTTTTGGAAGCATTTTTCTCTGTCGTTTTAATGAGCCTTCTGCTCTATCTTCATGATGCCAAAACAACTACAGAGATTACTCTCTCATAGAAGCCATTTCATTGATGTAATTGATGTGAAAAGCTGCTGAGCTCAGCTGTACCTCAATGCTTTGGTGAAAACAGAGACTGTGTACATGCCAGGCTGCCTCGAATCTCTCACCATGAAGGCACCTTCTCTACCCTGTAACAAGATCAGAGGAGAGAAAACTGGTTAGAGACATCACAGAAAAAGAAGCAGGCCAGGGGCAAAGCTCTGCTCATTTCAGCCCCGTCTTCTGCTTATGAGGATTTGCTAAAGATGTTGGAAAAAATGGAGCTCTCAGCCACTCCATGCTCTTCCCTGGTGTATGCCCAGGGACTGCAGGTACACCCAGCTGATCTCTCTTGGGTGCCATGTATTTTTAGCTTGATTTCCTGAGGAAATGGGACTTATGCAATCATGTTGAATATGTGTGGGTGTAGGCACACATGAATGCACGTCTCTGTTCCTCTAAGCTTCTCCTCTAGAAATTTTGATTGCTTTCAACCTTATCTGAGAGAACACTGGTGATCTTAATTTCAGACAAGTTCAACAAAAATGGGCAGCTGAGTGGAAAGGCAAACCCCGCTGAGTGCCCTCCACAGAGAGCAGTTACAGGATGAAGGTGCTACTTATTCAACACCAAAGAATCCCTATGAGAACATATGAGAGATAATTTACCAATGTACCAGAAATAGAAAAAGCTTGGACAAGACCCTCTGTGCAGGTACACCAGCCAACCAATGTCTAAATATAATTGCTTAGGAAAGCAGGCTACCTCCACTCAGGCATTCACAGAACAATTTCCCTTTCTAATTTTTCACTGTAATTGTTTTCTACTCATCTGAATGCTAAAATGTTCCATAGGCCTGCAGGGTCAAACACTAATGAATCAGATAGCAGGGGAGAAGATTTAACATTACAGTTTGGATGCAATGTGCTGTGCTGACTCTACATTGATAATAAAAACCATAATTTTTTTATGTTTGAAGATAAAGATACTTTTATATCTGACACTTCAAATGCTTGATTATTTTTGCTTTGCTTTACCTGATGGAGTCCCTCCACTTATATGTGCCCAATCTTCTTTTCTACATTTTAAAAAAAACCAACAGACTTCCTTCATTTCAACACTGCTAATATTGACAGCAAACATGCAGCAACCTGTGACTGTCTTGTGTCTGACAAAGCTGGAAGGAGCTTTATCAGCTTTACCAGACAAATCCCATCTGCGGCACGTGGTGTAAGGCTAAGCCCCCAAGTGCAGCCTGTCTCAGCCTCCTGCTGGCACAGGTAGAGGAGAGTTGGGGGTAGCATCCTGCTGAGCTGCTTTCAGAACCATTCTTCCCTCTCACATGGGAGCAAGGCTGGCTGGAGACCACTCATGTGCTTGGCTGCGTGTTTGGAAGGAGCTGTAAGGGATGGAAAATTCTGAAGCAGAAATGTGTGCAGCCAAACAGGGGTAGCAGCCACAGAAAAGCCGTGATGGAAGGACCAGAAGGAAAAATAAGTTCACTCAATCCTGCATGGTTAGTAGGAGTTCATAGGAGATAAGAGATTATTTTAAACCGCATAAAAATAAGCTCCTATTTTCACAAAGACTGTCATTCAGCATTTTATTTGGTTCTCCTGTTAGTGTAAGAGCTGACACTGTAAAAACTAACATTGTGTTTGTGTGGAAAATTTGAACAAGAAGTGTACTCTTTTTATTTGCATGACAATCTTCACTGGAAAACTCTGTCTCTACTGAAAGATTAGAGACGCACGCACATAACACACAGCTAAGCATAACACCAACCCATACTTTTGGCTTTCACCCAAAATACCACAGCACAAGATTAGTTCGATTTTCAGAGAACTACTGGCATTCGCAGGCCTCCAGCAGAGTCATGATGAGCTACAATCTGAGTTTTCAGCCAACTCTGTTCTGAAAAGGCATTTTCCATCATCTCACTGCCCTGGATGAGGGTGGCACAGCTCTCTGCCTGCCCCTGGCTGCTGTGGTGTCGGGGGCTGCTGGTGCCTGGATCCCTACCAGCCCCGTGCCATGCATCGCCCAGGGACAGCAGCACAGCAGGGACCTGGCACTCAGTTTGCCCTTGCACAAAGCAGCACTCATGGGCTGCTCCTCAGTTCTCATTTATTAATTATGATCGCCCATCTGACCTGAATGTAAACACCAACTTACCTCATCCCTGAGGAGCATTTCTGCTTTGCTTCTGCTGATGTTCTTATTGTACCATCTGAAAACAGCAAAAGACTGCGTGTCAGCATTTCTAGGCTGTTAAAGTTCCTGCTGAAAAGCCTCTGCACTGAGAGTCTCTAATACAAGCGACAACATAGCGTGGGGTGGGGACCTTTGCACCTTCTGTAACAAAGAGGTACAACAAAAACACAGGCACAACTTACTCATATATTTGCAGGTTATCAGGTGATTTTTCCGCCAGGTAGCTACTTGGCACATAGCCTTCATGCCTGTAAAAATGTGACACAGCAGTGTGAGCTACAGACAGGATTTTTTCTGCACCCGTGGAAGTTAGCCCTGAGACATTTGTTGGCCAGACGCCTTGTTCTTTGCATGATAGAAATGCTGGGTTTTATGTCTTTTGTAGGGTTCCTGGGTGTTGAAAACAACTATATCCTCCCCAGCTCAGATAAACAAGGAGAACTGAGGAGAAATAATGCACAGCCTCCATCACTGTTCATATTAAGGATCCTATAGTTTGATTTTTTTTGGTGTTAGTTATCCCCGCAGAGTGCATTCTAGTTTCCATAAGTTTTTCCCCACAAGTTTGACAGCAAGTATCAGTCTGAGCTAAGGATTGCTGTTTAAAAAATCAACTTTGGGTCCTTTTTCTGCAGCTGCCTGGATACAAGCAGCTCCAAGGGAAGGATCCTTCCATCTCTGTATCTTCTATGTATCAGAAGATACTTCGCAAAAGTGGTACTAGAGGCCAGATAAATGCTAGTGGATGAGCAGACTGGACTTAGAAAGGATTTGTAAATTTGATGTTGAAAAGGGATTTACCCGTTCTTATCTTGAATCAGCCACCAATGTTCCTCAGAGCTGTCAATCACATGATATTCCTCATTGTACCGTAATGTCAGCTCCTGCGGGTTCTGGGCTTCGTAGTCGTATATGGCCACGACTAAGGTTTCCTTTGTGTTTAGCAGTGATTTCTGCACCAATTAGGAAAAAGGCTCATCACATTCATGTTCATAAATGTCAATGGCATGCTCTCTGAAATGATATTCCCCTGACAACACTGGTGTGCTCTGTACTCAGTTCTTTTAGGCTTAAGGCAGAATTAACCCTGTCTGATCCGATTTTCACAGATGTTTCCTAAACTCCCATTAAAAGATACCAGTGATAAAATCTCCTTGCTCTTCTTAGATGGACCTAACAACCTCACAGCTCCTCACTTCTTATTATGACTTTTTCCATCCACAAGTGGGTTTGGAAAACTGCTCATTCTGCTTCTCTTCACAGCAGCTTTTGCAGATATAAAAGCTTTTCTCATATCCACCCCCTTTCCCAGTTTCCCTTTCTACAGAATGCAAAAAAAAAAAAACAAAACACCACCTTTGAAGCTTTCCTCACCATTGGAAAGCTACTTGTAACACAGCCATCTTTGAAGGACTTAGTCTAGTGCAGTGGATTACTGCTGATTATTTATAACTTATGGGGAAAGAAAAAAAAAAGAAAAGGGAAGAGAAAAGCCCAGGGAATATTATCATAGTTGATATTCTTGGTCGCTGCTCCATGACAAACATTACTAAACTTATTTCCACCTCTGCTAGTTAAACATACAGGACACTAAGGACAGTGTTGCATGCCTTGCTGCACTCACCCAGTTATCTTCAGGAGTTGGAGGAAGAGGCTTCTTTGAGGCTGAAATGAAATCAAGAAAGCTAATTTGAATCAGAAATAGACAAACTCTACAGAAATAGAATAGCTAGCTTTGGTCTTTTAGAGTAAGATGTGCCAACAGCTGCACCTGCTAGCACAGGTTTGAAACTGATGTGCAGACTGCATAAGGAATCACAGAAATGCAAGGGGAAAAAAAGTCTTGAGTGTAAAATGATTGACTTCCCTATCTGCCAGCACTTACATCACCATTGATACTACAGAGGAAATGTGGGAAGGACAAAATAGGACACGTGGGAAGGAGTGCAGTTATCTTAAAAAGTTGTTGTTAAGGCTTGTTGAAGGACCACAGCTGATCAAGTTCTTGGGTTTCAGTTTCACTCCTCAGACAGAACAAAGCATTCTACAGAGGAAAATATTAATTCAAAACAGAGAGTAACGTGTAGTGAAAAATAAGCCAAAACAAGGAATGTTCAAAGAAGACAGCAGCATGTCTCTTGATCAAAATGTAACATGAACTCTCATGTTCTGCACAAGACAGATTTAATCTTTTACTTTTTCTAGGAATAAATATTTTCAGGGTCAAGAGGCTCTTAAAGAAATCTCATACCAGTTTTGGTGGGGTCATACTCTATACAGCCAACTGCCATCTTCTCTGTCTGAGCACAGCATCTCCACTTGCCATCTATCCAGAAATCTGGATGATACTTTGAGACTAAACTGTTGTTGCTCCTGGTTTCTGGAAAGTGTTACAGTAAGAGAAGAAAGGAGGAAAAAGTGGATTTGTTTTTATTGACATAACCTCTGCAAAATACATGGAACTGAACAGAAATAATCTGCACTAAAGAATCTTCTTATTTTTTCTCAAACCATTATTCTATGTGAATATTATCAGTCTGATCCATTTCTCTCTTCAAACTGTTAAACACCAAAACCACAGAAAGAAGGTTTCAAAAACAGAAAGAAAACCTGGTACAACCAGATACTGATGATTCTCATAATGAACTGCATCTCTGCAGTATGTATGTACATAGGACACCGACTCTGCTCGGTGTTCAGAAGGAGCTGTACCAGTTGGGATTCACCAGCTCTAAATATGTTTGTATGTGTAGATGTCAGCTGTGAATCTCTGTATGAGCAGTCAAAGATCCTTTGGTTTGAAACTATTGCCCTAATAATTTTCTTAAAAAGACAAAGAAAAAAAAAAACACAAACAGACAAAACTATCCTGGCCTGTTTCTGTTTGATCAATTCAAATAAAATTGTTGTTGACCACTCAGATTGTCTCAACATGCTGAACTAGAGGAGATGGTAAACAAGGAACTCAGAACAGGTACAGCCTAGAAGGGGAATAACTGATTGTAAGACCAAGTGCATGAACTTCATAATAACTCAAACAGGCTTAAAGTTTTCAAAATGAACTAAACAGCAGCTCACGTTACAAAGCAGGAGAAAGCTATGAGGGAATCAGGGTGCAATTTTCATGTAACTAAAGAATCTCTTCCTTCTGCACGCAGCGGTTAGTTATTGTACCTTCACTTCAGAATCGTTGTAATGAACCACAGAACAATTCAAGAGGTGAACAGGAAATGAAAGCTACCCACAAAAATGTTTCTTAATAATCATGATTCTCTAAGAAGGTTGTCATCTAAACAAAGTAGCTATTAATCAGCGTTGAGAAATCTACCCAGAAAATATTGTAACTTGGATTACATGTTCAAGTTTTTCAAAGCTTTTGAAAGCACACCCACAACATTTGCAAATGTATTTGTTTCCATAGCTGCGTTCCCAATGACCACTTTGCATGTTTAGATGTAAGAAATCAACTCCTCTTGCATGTTTTCTTGGCATTTTAGCTTTTGAGAAAAATGACCAGGAATAACTAACTTCAACAGTTAAGTGGGCCTAGGGGTTCTGTTACCTTCCTTCAGTGTAAAGACCCATCTCTGCCGGCTCTCACGGTTGGGTGCGAACACGTAGAGGATGTAGTTATCATGGACAATCTGGAAAGGGGAATAAAGATGGGAGCCAGCCATTAGAAACAATCCTGGGCATGGTGGAACCTTGGAAAGAAACAAGCAGCAACCCCCATGTCAACTACGTAAATCCATACAAAACAATGTAGTGAACACATGGAGTACACAGGGTCTGTTCAGAAGCATCCCATAACCTCAGTGCCTTTTACTTACCTAAGATTGGGTACAAAACTTGATCAAGAAAGAATTCTAGATGGGTAATTTTTTATTTTTATTTTTTAATCAATTTTCTGTTGATAAGAAATGCCAGTAAAACCAATGGAGATGGTGCAACTTTGTTGTGCACAGAAGCCAGCCCACTACATGCAGCTGTAGCCTATTCTTCTGAAGCACCTCCGGGGAAATGACATCTGTTTCTCAGCAGTTTCTTTTAAGACATCTTCACTTAACATCTAAGAGCCAAATTAGCTTTTCTAGTCAGTATAAATCCCAAGCGATGCCCTGGGGATTCACTGTACTACTATCACTCTAAAGTATTTGCTATCTTTCACTAGGATTATGGTGGGGAAATAAGAAACTAGAGCAGATGAGCAACAAGCAGTCAGGATGCTGCTTTCACAAACTTGTCCTTAGTGATGAACAAAATGATGGAAGAGAAATACAGAACATTCGTGAAGTTTCAGACTAGAGAGTGAAATCATCACAGGAACAAAAATGACTCAGAATCTTAATCAGATGACTATATTTGGGACTAAAATGTGATGTAACACACAACCCAAGTTTCTTTTCCAATATTTATCTCAAGAATTTAAATCCAAATGAGACCTGGACTCTTTGATGCACAAACACTTTGAAAAAACTTCAACCAGTGTCTTTAAACAGAGATTTCTAGAAGACAGTATCTGTTTTTTTCAAAGCTTAAAGCAGTGTAGATGAGGCAACAGTAATAATTGTTTAAATGACGGGAAGCATTTGCTATCTCCTGGCCTGATGCCCCTGCAGGCACAAGCAGACAGCTATGTGACTCAGTTGCTTTGCAGTCTACAGAGAGATAAATTATAACCTCTGTTTAAAGAAAAAATAAAAACAAGGGGGGAATAATTCCCACTCATTTAAAGACACTCTTCTTGATATTACAGTTGTGACTGTAGAATGTTTTGACAATTTAAGATGGATTTTGAAATGCATAGCAAGCAGATCTCCAGAAAACATAGCCATGAGCATGCACAACTGCACAAAATCCTCCCCTCAGCTACTCTGCAAGGGGCTGACCTGCCAGAGCAGCCACACTGAGACAATGAAGGGATGTTGGTGCTTCCTCTGGAGGTTTACAGCCAGGTGCATTGAGATGCTTCAGACAAAATGGACAATATCGTTTAACAAAACATTGCAGAGTTCACTCTGAGATAAAATTCAGATGGAACACAAGCAGAATTCCCCTGACCTTGGCAGAACACTGTCCAACACAACAAAGCCTCTGCCACCACCTCACCAGTACCGGCACTACCCGCACTTTATTTTGTTCTTCCTGTAGAACTGGAGATGTGGAGATGTAGATGGAAATTCAGACCCAGAACTAGCAGATCTGAACATTTATTCCTTCTCCCATCCATGCTTACCCAGGAAAGCTGCATTATAATTTGGGAAAGGAGGAAAGAGCAGTTGAGGTTCCCCCCTCAAGCTTTCCCCAGTTAGGCAGATCCCAACCAGCCCTGGCTACGAGCTGTGCTGTCAGGCTGCTCATCAACAGCTGTTTGCAGCATAAAACAGCACCTTTTGGTGCTCCTAAAGACCCATAGACAAGGCTGTAACACTCGGATTGTTTCAAGTCATCTGTGAACAGATTGTCCTGTATTCGTGGAAATTCATACACCGTAATTAATATGAAAAATAGTGTCACCAGTGAGATAAAATTCTGATTACTGAGTCTTTGAGTCCTTAGTTCTCTTCAAACCTCTCTGCTTTTTCTTCGTTTGATGACATTCATCTCAGTGTTGACTTCATTAAGGATTGCAATGTACAGGAGCATTTTAGTGAAAGACAGAAAGAAGTTCTATCACTTATCAGTATATCCAACAGACAGACTCACCTGGAAAGGATATTTATATTGACAGGGGATGATGATGTCACTTTTCACAATTTCTACACATTTAATCCTGGAAAGTTCCACAGAACCCTTCAAAGTCCTTTTTTTCTAAAAGACAGATAGAAGCACTTGGTTAAGGTCAGTGATTGTGGATTATGTACGTAATGAGACAAGACTGAGATGTCCACAGGAGATTTCTAAGTTTGATAGAGATGTACCAGATGATATAGTAGGTATAAGTACAAGGAATTATTCTCAGATATGTCACCTCTATGTACGTGGCACATAAACATCTGCACACAGATATATTTCAGCTCAGCACATGGATTCTTAGAGAACCAGTCTGAACTTTGGGTTGAAATTCAGGTTTTATTTCTTCCTTCCAACAAAATAAGATCTCTTTTTAACCAAAAAAGAACTACTTTCATGAAACTTGTGGTTTGTTAACACTCTTGTTTCATAGAGAAAATCTGTAAAACAATATACTTTATTAAAAGAAAACTTTGGGGTACTTTGATTTTCAAAACGGAGCATTATCTAAAATATAATATTTTTACTGCCTGCATTTGCTAAGAAAAAAAAACACGTCTCTGTTTTTGGTCTTTCTAGGTTTTTAGCTTAAGGAAAATATCAGGAAATTTTAAAATAAATAATACACTGAAAAACTTGCCTACAAGACTACTTGTCTGTCAGCTTCTGATGTGTGATTATTCATTAGATGCCAGATAGCCAGATAACAGAATAGCCAGTCAGGGGAGAGTAAGAACAGAATGGACACTCCATATCCCAGCTGCTCTCGGCATGCCTTATTTCCCACTGAAGCACTGCCTGTAGCTCCCACATGGTAGCAATCAGCTCCAGCAAGAGAGATGGACAAGGAAGATGCCAGCAGAAGCTATCAGATGCTTGCTATCTGGTGCACGCTTCTGAGGGATTCGCTACAAGTGTGTTTGCTCTTCGGAGACAAACCAGTTTCCTGTTTTGTTTCATTTTCAGTAGGGATGAAACATGAACATTCTCCCACCTCAGATTTGCCACCCAAAGAACATTGCAAAGATTATTTTTGCAAGAGCTTCATACTTTGCCCTTATATACCTGGACCCGAGGGAAGAGAGGGAAGTTATTACAGCGTGGTCTCACATTGTTCCTGCCGGACTTTGTTGGTGTATATATCTCTTGTATGTGCTGGCAGTTCAGCCAGCACCTCTGGGATTGTTGCCAAGTCTGTCTCTTGTATTTGTCATTTGCCTATATAGCTCTGTGGGGTGGAATGGGATTTTTTTAATCAATAAACTCAAGGCTGTAAGACAGCTCTAAATTTAAAAATCAATTGACTAGCAAGAGCACTGCCAAATCTGAGAAAGCCTCCCTGCACTGCATTTTCTTTCATTCTTGTCTGTTCAGTTCTTTCTTCCAGATTTGGCTTCCTCTATCTCTTCTCCACAACCTCCTCTATCATTTGTTCTACCCCTGGGACTTCCACTCTGCCACGAGAAACAAAGCCATTTGTTTCCTACAGAACCCTTCAATTTTGTTAATGCTGAGCTCTCTTTTAGCTGATTATTGTGAAGACCCAGGGTTTAACCACACAGGAGGCTTTTGGAGTTGATAGTGCCTGTTGCACTCACAGTCTCTACTCTTTCGCTGCAGAGATTTTGTTGACACATTTCCATTCTCCAGTGAAAGACAGGGCCCAGCCTTCTTGAAGAGCTTGATGCAGTTGTTCTGCAACTCTACCTCCTGAGCTCTTTCTAGTTGTGTAATTTCAGCAAAAAGCCCCCGTCACCTCAAGTTAAAGCACATCAGGCTGTGTGCCACAGTTGCTGTATTGCCTAGCAGGTCCTCCACAGATGGGACTTTGCTGACAGAAAGCAATTATAGTCCTGAAGCAGCACAAACTATAGAAATTACCATTCACAAAACCAGACATTACCCGGCAGCGAGCCTAGGAACTAACCATACCCCTAGTTTTGTGATGCCTGACTGCTTTAATCTAACAAAAGCAACTGAACCATTTGGAAGGGAGGAGAGAGAAAAGACCTCTTAAAAATGGTCTCCAAAACCTCAGAGACTTGTTTCTAAGAGGGCCAGACTAAACATACTGAGAGATCTCTGTTTGTAGTTTTCAGTCTGCCCAGAGTATAATTAAATAGATGTTTTAGTTGGTTGGTCAGAAAAACCATCAGTTGTCTTGCTGAGTAATGTGTGTGGAAAGATAACCAAGGCACACTGCTGTCCCAAGAGGAAAAGCACAGTTTGTGCAGATCAGTATGTCCTGCTTTATTGCTTTCAAGCCATTATTTGCAATACGGGAAGGGGAAGCTAGCAGCACCGAATGGAGCTGAGTGCATCACAAACTCAGTGCATTATGGTGTTCAACTCTGGTGTTTCACCTCCTCTTGCCTCACAGCTCCAGCAGTTTTAGAAATGATTGCAATGGTTTCTATTTCCTTAGGTACTGGTAGTACTAACTTTGGAAGAAGTAGGTGGGAATTTCCGTACTAGAACTATTCTGTAGTAATTTCTACCTGCACAGTCCTACCCTACAGCACAGAAGAGGACTCTTACAGTGCTCATTTAATGGAAGAGCCACCTTGCTTTTTACCACGTGCTCAGCCTACACAGCCCCCAGCACTGCAACTCATCCAGCACATGCAACTCAACCAGTGGCCCACTAATCCTTTCCCATCAGCTCACATCCTGCTGGGTCCAGCCAACCCCTTGGTCAGACAAACATGGGAAGAAGCAGGGCCACGGGAGGGCAACGAGTCAGCAGTGAACCCAGCGCTGCGCACGACTGTGCTTCCTGACTGCGGTTCTCTACTCATTGCTTCACAAACGTCTCAGATTTTGTGAGATATGGGGCTGTACAGTCAGGGGAATGTGCTGCTTTCTGGTTAACGCTTTGCTGTTGCTATTCATGGTCCTGATTCATCAGATGTGCTGAACCAAAGAATCACAAATCTTGGTGGATGCTTAAAGCTTTTGCTAAATGCCACCTTATTTATCAAAGGGAATTGGCAATAAAAATTGTCAACAGTGCAAGAGCAGAGGGAAGGGAGGGAGGCCAAATGGCAGGAAGAGATGGGGTGGGCAAAGCTTCGCCTCCACAGCTCAAGAGAGAGAAGGCAGAACCTTGAGCAGGCAGAAAGACAGTGTGCTGCGTTTCACAAAGCTGACAGAGCTCAAAAGTTGTATATGAACTTGCCTCTTTTATTTTTGAGGTGTAAGGAAAAAAAGCAAGCAATTAGGGTTCATTTGGCCCCAAACTCTTGATCAGTGCTCACTTCCCACAGCTCTAGTGTTTGCTTTCCCCTTTCCACATTTCTCTCTACTTCATCCCCATCACCTGCCACATCCCAGCTATGCCTGCTGGTCCCCCTGCCTGGCCAGGAACCTCTGAAAGGAGCAGGTTTCCCTGCAGCACCTCTGAGCCCCTATGTACATGAGACTCTCCTCTACCACAAGCTCAGCCCATGGCTCTGTGCTCACCCACTGCTCCCCACTGAAGGCCCAGCTGCAGTTGGACACTTTGCCTCAGTAGGTGGAAAGGGGAAGGAAGCTTATAGCTGCAGTGGAGAGAGGTAGGAAATTCCAGTCCTCCGCAAGCAAAACCGCAGAAACATTTCCATCAGTAAAAGCATTTAATGGCCTTCTCTGCAATGTCAGCTTTGCAAGGCTCTGGGCTGATTTACATTCCCTGCTTTCATTTGTCAGCTTGAATAGAAGGAAACATTCTTAATTAACCATCTTGGTGATGAAGTAGATGAGGGGTCTTTGCCTTGCCCCAGTCTTCTTGTGCCTTATCACCAGCTCCCCATCTCTCTTCCCAGTGAATAGCCTGGATAGAGGTAGGAGTAAGAAGAATTTCTTACTCTGTGAAAACGTAGTGATGAAACAAAACAATATTTATATTATTATTATTATTATTGTTTTTAATGGCGCATACAGTCCTCCAAACATAGGCAAGATTAAAACCTCAGAAGATGGATAGGTCAAAATAGGTTGAAAGGGCACAAGCTGTTTTCTGGGAGCAGAGGCAATGCAGCTGCCCTGGGTCAGCGCTTGAATGAAGGTAGAACTTCATGTATAACTTTTCTGTAGAGTTTTTTCATGAAAACCAATTAACCTTCCAAAAGTTGGAAATACAAGTGCTCAGCTGGCATCTGTGTTGCTCTTCTTTGGCTGACAATGTGTTGCACTTTTCCTTTTTTTTTAAATTTCAAAATGATTGAAAAGAAATATTTAAAGTTGAAGAGTCTTTCTCTCACATGACTGGCTCAAAAAGGCAAAATAATATCTGACTTTGCATGGTCAGATCATTCCAGATATGCTTTCTTAGCTTCCAGTAAAACATCTGAGGCTACTTTTATAGTTTTACCCAGACCAGTTGATACTGACCAGTCTTGGAGACAGGCCACTTGGTTCATGGGTCTGTTGTGATTGAAGATCACACTTTTACATTCTCATGATCTTAAATTAAGCTCTATAAATAATACAGAAGCATATGTATGCCTAGCTTGCTCTGTTTTCTCTGTTCTTAACTGTAAGAAATATTCACCATAGCCACACATTTTATGGAGGATATGAGTACATGATTTTCAGGGCAAGATGCAACATCACCGTTCAACCGCTGGTAGGAAATAAGTGGGTCAATGTACAGACCACTTCACTGAACCTGCCTGTCTATTTGCAGGCAGATTCATATCAAAGTGAAGCAGAATCATTGTGAAGGATCTATCTCCTAGGAATGGAGAACTCAATTTGTTGAAGGCTGGTGAACATCTCCTTTTTAAATCATTATTTTCCAGCTCTGATTCTCTTCAGGCCTACAGTATAATTTCTTGATTTGCTGAGATGATCAGATTTTGGTTGTGCCTATGCTGTTGCAAAGTATCCAGTTTACTCAGTAACTTATAGTTCTCTCATAAGCACGCGTTGGCTCTAAGAGCAATGGAGAAGAACATAGAAAATAGTAACGAGGAACATCATGAAATTAGATGGATTCTTAACAGCAATTCTCTTATAGAGTATTTTTCCACTGACCAAAAGATTTGTGCTTGAACTTGAACCTCCTTGAAACCTGTGCTGATACAATTAATTTCTGT